TTTACTATTTTGATGCAATAACTTAGTGTTTGATCACTAAATTTTAGCTAAAGGGATCAAAGCAAGACCCTAAAAATCAACAAAACAAAAACATCAACAACAAGTGACCAAAATCTAAAAAGAACCTTGGGGATATATGTGATAGTTGTTTATTCAATTCTTTTGCAATCTCCTCCGGAAGATCAAAAACAACTCCTTGAATCTCGTATAAACACATCATACTTAACTTGTTTTGAAGAATGCAATGCATCAAGAAGAAAAAAACTCCCCTAAACATATTCAAAACATTTCACAAAAACATACATTTTTATCAACGATTAGATGTATTTTTGAACTACTATAGGATAAACATTAGAAAGAAATCCAAGTAATAGATAGAAACCTTCTAGAATAGGTTATCAATTGCAACATTGCCCATCCTTACGGACACAAAGGCCCAATTCAAGTTACCGACAAGATGCTAAAATAGCTACAAAGGTTGTATTCCACATATACTAGTAAAGTAAACAAATATACTCCAAACATCCAAAGAAAGAAAAGTTTAAAAACATCAAATAAACAAGTTTGTCAAGCATGTAGAGTAAACAAAATACAAGACTCTAATCATACTACTTGGAAACACTATTGCATAGATCTAATTGCTCTTTCCGGCATAGATTTTATAAGAACACAATTGCATATCTATCATGAAATCAAACTTTTACCATTTCTTCCTCAAGCTATGCTTTTTCAAGTGCCATTTCCTCTCTTCTCTTTTTCACCTTTTCAATCTCTCGCTCGCAACATAAAAGTGAATAAATACGAGCCGATATCAAATAATTGATCACATTACCATTGACTTCAAATATTTAGCCATTGATTTCATAATGAACTTACTATAAAGAGATACTAAGTGAGTGCAAAGACAAAGAATTCATAGCAAAAGGAAAACGAAATGAAATTCTAAATGCAATTTACAAGTTTCTTATTCTTATGTTTATTTATTTGTATGTATTTGATTGCTTATTAGAAATTCATAGCTTGTTGATTTGCTATGGCCCTCGTTCTTCGAGTGCAAGTCATTTAAACCTTATTTTTGATAAAATTGAGCCATTTGGAGATAAATTTGAGCATTTGATTCATTAATATGTGTTAAAAAGTAACATAACACTTCCTATTGTCTTATCTAATAATTTGATTGAGATGGTTTTTTAATTTGGAATTAGAGTTTTAATGACCAAATATACATGAGTTCGAATCTCACAGTTTGGCCTACTCGAGTGAGTGTATTAGAGAATAATATAAAATTATTCTTAAAATCTAATTGACTTTTGGATTGAAATGGTTCTATAAAAAATAAATTGTCATTTCATGCATGAACTTGATTCATGCATGCATGCACTTCATAATAACGAAGAACAAGTTGCTATAGCTTGCACTAGTTAGATACCTAAGATACGCTACGATCAAACAACCGTTGCATACGTAGGGTTAACGAGTCGTTTGGCATATTGAGTGAGATGGTTTTTTAATTTAGAATTATAGTCTTAATGACAAAACAAACACGAGTTCAAATCTCACAGTTTGGCCTATTGAGTGAGTGTATTAGATAATAATATAAAATTATTATTGAAATCTCACCGATTTTTGGATTGACATGGTTCTATAAAAAAAATTGTCATTTCATGCATGAACTTGATTCATGAATGCATGCACTTCATAATAATGAAGAACAAATTGCTATAGCTTGCACTAGTTAGATATCTACGCTACGCTACGATCAAACAACTCGTTACATATGTAAGTTAACGACTCGTATGGTGTAGCACAAATAGAAGTTTTATTTCTAGTGATTAGTGTAAATCAAATCTATATATTGAACGAAATCATTTGATTTATACACATTTATTAAAAATATATTTAATAATATCATAAAAATTTGTATTTGAATAATTGAAAGGTTCTTTCAAAACATTATCTAACTTATTTTATTTTAAAAAATAAATTTTAGAATATGAAAAAAATAATAATAATAATTAGTATTATGTGTATAGATATATAGTTAATTTCTAACAAAACTTACGAGATATAAAAAAAAATATACAAAAAAAAAAAATCCACTTAAATTGTATGAAATATATTGAAGCCAATAGATTAAAATAAAAACTACAACAAATTTGATTCTGATAAATTCTGAATAAATATATACAAAAAAGCAAATAAAACTTGTGAATTTTTTAATTGATTATTAATTTTTTTTTTAAAAAAGAGTCAAACTATCTCAAACATACTTTTAGCTCTCTCTCTCTCTCTCATATATATATATATATATAAAATTAAAATTTATAAATTATAATAATATATTTTAAAAAATAAAACACTCATTTAAAAAGCATAAAAATAATTTATTATATAAATTATAATAATATATTATTTAAAAAATAAAACATCGATATTCTAAAATTTTATTTCAAAATTCATATATTACAAAATCAAATTTATTAACAAATAAAATTATATCAAAAAATTAATCCGATGAGAATTTTAATAAGAAATAAATAATTGAAGAAATAAATTTTAAATAATTAGAATAATATAATCAAAAGTATATGTTCAAACTAATTTTTTTAAAAATGTCATATATATTTTATCATTTTCAAACTCGTATGTAAAATTAAAAAAAATAATAGTTTATTTTTTATACCTAATTTGATGATAATATATACACTTAAGAAAAAATAAAAGAATAAAAAGTCAAACTTGCCTTTGGTTAGCTCTGTGCAACCACATATATATATATATATATATATATATATATATATATATATATATATATGTGTGTGTGTGTGTGTGTGTGTACGCACACATGCATGCGCTCATGTGTGTGAAAAATAAAAAATAAAAAAAAAAAAAAAAAGAAAGAAGGTCATGATCGTGCCTTTTTTGACCTTCTACATCTCCTGGTTTATTATTAAAAAAAATAATGGATTGTGTGGCCTTGTCTGCCATTCAATCCAGGGGAAAAAATGTCAAACCAAGAGAACTAAATATAGTAAATGAACAGTGATTTATGTTTAAACACTCCATTTTTTTTAGTTTTTTAGGCAATAATTGAGCTTGGATTTTGGTTAGGTGACGTCTTTGACTCCGAGATGATTTTGAAGATGACATTTATTGTACTGTTAGTGGTGGGTGGTAGTCCTAATGAATGTTTCTCTGTGTCCATCAATTAAGGAAACTCCAAGTTTACATGAGATGACGTTCATTTTGCTCCTATATATTATTAGGGGGAGCCGAATTCAGTTCGATTTGAAAGACCAAATGGAACCGACATAATATATATATATATATATAGTTGGGCTTGAAAGGTCATCAGCCGTAGTTCCAATGTAGCAGAAGGAGTCGGCGTGAATAGACCATTTTAAAAAAATAATAATGCAAAACGAAAAAAAAGAAAAGAAAAGAAAAAGAAAATTAAGCTATTGACTAAAAAATTAATTTCATTTCAGTATTTGATATTACTGCCCAGTCTTACCATTCCATGGTTCCATTACTCTTTGGAGGTTATAATTAAAAGAAAAAAATCATTAAAAAAAATTAATTAAACATTGGATAACATTTTATCTAACATGGAATTCCTAAACATATGTAAATATTTTCAAAGAGCAATATTCATGGAGAATGAAAAAATCTGACGAAATGAGATATTCAAACCTTCGAGCAACAAAATATAGTGCAAGTTTATTTTGTTCAGACTAGTTAATATTGACTGATGAACGTTGTTTGAAAAGATTATAGAGTATGTAAAAATAAGATTTCTACTTCACAAAAAGCGTAAACAATCACCCAAAAAAAAAAAAAAAACCCAAATAGACTTCATTGTTTTTGAGACAAGTACGACTAATGTACATGATCAGTTATTAATAAGTTGTTGGTCTAATAGTAAACAAATTGATTTTCAAATAAATTTTTTGCTAATATATATGTTTTCATCTTAAAATTACATTTATTAAAAAAAGTTAAATCTTATTACTTTCATTTTGAATATAACTAGTTTCATCTATAGTATAGGATAATGATACATGGAGGAAAAAAAGTACGTGATCAATATAAAGGTCAAATAGAGTAAATAAGTTAATCTATTTTTATATAATTAGACAAATCTCTAATATGTTTTTACATCTTTAATTATATATATATATATATATTATGTTTTTGTGTATTATCCAAATCTCTAATATGTCATTTAATCAAGTTTTTTCACTCAAATTGATAAAATTATACTATTAATTTCAAAAAATTGTTCTTGAGCTATATAAGAATATGATAGAAAAATTTCTCAAGATGTTTTAAAAAATAAAAAGTTTCAAGATTACTCAACTATTAAAAATTTTAAAAATAAATATTTTAACTCAAAAAAAAAAAAACTATACTCTTGTATAACTCAATAGTAGTTTTAAAATGAAAAATATAATTATGTCAATTTGAATAAAAAAACTTGATAGAAGAACATATTGGAGAGTTAGATAATATATATAAAGGCGCTATAGACATGATAGACACAATTACAAATATAAAGAAAAATTAAATACTTAAATATATTAATAATTATTAATAAATTTATCAAAATAATAATTATAAAAGAAAATTTGTTATAATCATTTTCTGTTGATGTTTTTTTTTCATCGTTTCTGGTTGCCGCAACTTAGCAGTGCCTTTCCCTTATAAGCCAAGCCCAATAAGAATTCCTTGGCCTCCAGGTAAGTCCATTGACTCTTCTATATATCTTGCTCGGCATCCGGTTGGCAAAACCTTTTTAGTGCCAGAAGGCAGCTTGATCTTACAGACACAATTGATATTAAAACTCAGTGACCTTTCAGTAATTAAGGCGTTAAAAGTTTAAATTGTTTAGCGAAATTGTAAAATATAATTTATATTATTCTTTAACACATACACACATAATAATAATGAAAAATCTATACAGTAAATAAATAGTAAAAAATCTATACAGTAAATGAATCCTACAAGCAATAATCACCAGAAGCTCTAGCTAAAACTCCTTTGTCACCAACCTTACGTGCCACATTGCACACAACAGCTCCTTTAGGCACAGATCTTAAAGGCATAACGTTGCCAACCTTGAGATTTGCCTTTTTTCCACAATAAACAAACTGACCCGAGCACATCCCTTCGGCCGCAGCGAAAAGCTCCTTTTGAAGCTTATACCTTATAGGGTGTCCAAACGTTACCCTCGCAAGAGAGGCACCTCGACCAGGGTCATGAACTATGTCAGTCATCACTCCTTTAAGGTAGCCGTTTCTCTCCCCCAAAATCGAGGGAACGAAAGCGAGCAGGACTTTTGCGGTGGTGGGTGTGGGACTTGAAGATCGAGCCTGCACCCTTACGTACATTGGGTTCGGATTACCCGACCCATTGAAATGACTGTTTAGGATCATAGTTTTTAATAGTTTAAATCATAGACGGTAGAAAAAATGATCAAAGCGTATTATTGGGATGCTTTAGAATTATTATGCAACGATTGTTATATAATGTAATGATCATTATTTAAAATTATAGTTAGGGTAATTTCGAAGAAGGAAAAAAATGGTTTAGGTTGTAATTTATATTGGTAGGTTTATGTTGGCCTAGGGTTTTGGATTGATATTATGATTTTAACCAGAGCTAACCGCCTAAAATCTTTTTATGATGGCTTGACAGGCAAAAGGATGAAAACGGATCTTCTAATGGCTGGCTCGCATGCCATGTTCAATCTTGCGATGAGTTGATTGAGTACGGTACTGGAAGGGTTCCGATTTAACTGATAAATCCCTCTCCTTGCCACTTCATTTAACTCAAATCATCCACAACGTAGGATACGATGCCACAGGTAGAAGGAAATGCCGAGCAGGGTCTTCCTTGATCCTGGCTTTCATGATCTTGATCCTGAAAGCTGTACAAAAACCTGCGAAGGTAATTATTATGGTGACCTTGTTTGTTCTTACACAAGGGGCCGGCATTGTCTATTCCAACAAACACCAAAAATTTGCTTAGCTATGAGTAGAAGAGATTAGAAGCTGATCATTACAAACTACAAGTGAGACAAGCCTTACAAATTTGAATCTCAGATCTATCCCTTCTTCGTTTTACATAGGATAATCTTAATCAGAAATGAAAAAAATGTATGATATTTATCTCATTTTAAAAACAAATCACTAATATTTAACTAAAAAAAGAAGAAGAAGAAGAAGAAGAAGAAAAGGATACGTGTAACTCAGAAGGTATGACTGTTTTGATTTATCATTTATATTGAAGCAAAAAATAACTTGAAAATAAAATATATATTAACGCTCCATTTGTTTCATGCAGAATAACTTGTTTTCAAAAAATCTCTTACATGAATAATGCTTTTCTAGAAAATATTTTTTATTGTTTGGTTATATATGTTAACGAAAACATTTTGAAAATAATTGTTTGGTGTTTAATAAGTATAAAAAATACGTGTTCAAAAAGAAATGACAAGATTTAATTGATGGAGAGGCTCATGATTTGATTTATTAACAATTATTTAGTCTTGTAAAATATTTCAATCTCTTAAGAACCCTAAGTTATTTTTCATTGTTTTAACCTTATTTTTCATTTGACTATAAAATATTTTTCATTGATTAAGTTTTTTTTAAATAAATCAAATTTGGCAAATAAAGAAAATATTTTACGAAAGCATATTTTCCATAAAACCTTCCATTAGATAAATTCTTTTAGCTCAAAGGAAACATTAAATAGCATTCATCTATCAATAACTTAGTTTTAGTATCCAACTATTGAATTTTAACACTCAAACAATCCTATTAAATAAGAATTATATAAGTAGTAAGAACGTGAAATGTAAAATCAAATTATCAAAATCTAGTAGGAAGATTTCGAATAATGATTTTTATTTTTTATTTTTTTTATTTTTTTAACTAAAGATAGACTTTAGAGTCTAATATCGATCGTAGTTAGGCGATCAGGAGTTAGTGATTAGTATTAGTAGTTAACGGAGTAGAAGAAGGAATGGTCGAATTTGTCTACTGTCATGACACAAATAAGGATCTAATTGCCACCATAAGAAGAGTTCAAGGACTATTGTACCACCTCTTAGATACGTGGGCTAAACTATTCAATTTAGCCCATCACCAAAAGAGACACGTCATTTGCTTAACACAAATTCAAAAGACAAGTCATCCACATTTGAATCGCCGCCTTCTCCTCCCTTCACCGAATCAGATTCTCTGTGACTGGCCACTCAACAGTCCTCTCTGCACACAGGGAAAGAACGACCTGTTGCGCAGACTTGTAACAAAGCCGGCGCTTTCTTCATCTGGGTACACTCTCTTTCTCTTTTATATCTCTGTTTTCTTTCAAAGTTCGTATCTTTTCTCGTTTTAAATGGTTTCTGTTTATATTTTCAACTAACTAAAGTTTGATTATTTTTGGGGTTTTTTGCAGGCTGATGGAAGATGACGTTTCGAACCCGTTTCGAAGAATGTCAATGCGAACTCGAAAGATTGCTCCAAAAATGGCAGCTGCACTTGCCAGCAATGATAACAGAACTCAGGTTTCTGTTTTTCTTTTCTTTTTTAAACTGAAAAGATTTTTTATTATTGAAAATTTTTATTGTTTTATTTATGTTTGGTTGATTAAAAAGATAGTAGTGAAATGGGGCTTTGTTTTTCATTGCAAAGATCGAAGCTATTTGTTGTTTTATTAGTGTTTGGTTGATTTAAGGAGGATGATCTTGATTTTTTTTTTCCTGAAGGCAGCAATTGCCAGACTTGAAGCATTGGAGAATGATTATACAGGAATGGAAACAGTAGAAGCTGTTGATGATGATGAGGCTTCTCTTGACGATGACGATGATGGTATTAGAGTCTCATTCTTTCCATTCTTATATGTTTTTTTTTTCTGTTTTGGTAAATTACTTGTTTCATTTGCCATTTATATGCTTTGCTTTGCTTTACATAGTTTCAAGTTGAAAAGGATCTCCGTTGATGCATTGAAGGTGGAGAGGTCTTTTTTGCGTATAGGACATGTTTATGTCTGCCTCTATCATTTTATCTTTTGTAAGAATTCTATTTAGCTAGCATATTGTAGTTATTAGTATTCATGGAGAAGTATTGTTGTCTGTATTTTTTTTCTCTTTCTGTTTTTCAGGGTGCCAGTTATCTATTCTAACGCATATTCTGTTCTGGCAAGACAAGCTTCTGGCACTTTACTATTTGGATTATAACACATGTCCTTTTTTTGTGAATTTGTTTTTCATTGACGTATTAGTTATGCAAGATGATCGCCATTCCCCTTATCTATGTTTATTCATCTTTATTTTAAAATGTACTCAAAAGGAATTTTTGTTGGCATACATTTTTTGAAACAATTCTGGACTTGGCATTATGATCATCAAAATCCACAACCAATATCTGATTCTGTGATTGAGGAGAGTGATAAGCCTTCTTAAAATCCCTTTCAAGTTTTTTTTCACGGTAGTGGTAGTTTGATGGGATTCGTTAGCAAAGTGAAAGTTGGTCAAATTGTTTATGTTTTTAAACTTTCTTTGATCTCCATTGCAGTCTATATACAAAAGAAGCATAAAGGCACGAAGAGGAAAACCCGGCAAGCAAAAGCACTTGAGAATGCTAGGAAGGCCCCGAGAAATTTTTTGGAGCTCTTGCATGAGGTAAGAATGGATGCTTCTTTTCACTGTCATCTATTAATTGTACGAATAGATGGTCTAAATTTTCGACCTGTGAAAACAGGCAAACCTAGAAGCTTTGCCTCCACATGTTCCATCCTATTTGAGGGCAGCAGTGGGACCTCCAAGCTCTACTTGCCGCAGGCATTTCTGCACTGTTTGTGGGTTCGCTTCCAATTATACATGTGTGAAGTGTGGAATGCGCTTTTGTTCAATCCGATGCCAGAAAATACATGATGATACTCGTTGCCTGAAATTTGTGGCCTGATTGGTAAGACTTGAGCCAGGCTGTTTTTTGTAGATATAACAACACTTCACCTCCATGAGCTTACTATGATAGACTGGAGCCATGTATGGATAGTGCCACTCTGATTTTCAATATGTACATTGGCTATATAAAAAAAAGGAGGGCTTTTTGTCTCCATTATTCTTGGTACATTTACATCTATTTGGTTTGATTCAGTCAGGTGAACAAGGTGCATTTTGAATGCCCATTTATGCATTTAGTCTGTATGAAGTAGGGCTTTGCTCCTGTCTATAGATCTGATTTTAATTTAGCTGGTAAAAAAATATGTGGTTTGTTTCATTCAGTTGACTTTTTTTATTTTTTTGAGTGCGCTTTTTTGTTTTTTGGCAACTCCAAGATTATCAGCTATATCCCAGGTTACTTTTTCACATTTTTAGCAAATATTTTGCTAGGTTTTTCCTTGTTAGTAAATCATTTAGGACATTAAGACAGTCATTATTGTATCCTACGAACTAAAACCATTTCATAGGACAAACAAGTTGACATTTCCTAACTACATATTGCATCAACTCGGATATGTGTTGCGTTCCTGTGACTAGAGTAGCCTCTTTGGGTTTTGAATTATTAGTTACTGACAGTAAAATGAAATGGAAGTGATATTCCAACTTCTCATAAATCATAAAACTTTGCATGCTTTTGAAACAAATACACTCAATCAAGAAACGTACCAAATCAATTGCTTAATGGAACATAGTCCCGTTAGGGACATAACTACTAGAAAATAAGCAAGCTAAGAATCCATGAATCTCTGGATTCAGGCAAACAAATACAATCATATCTAAGGGCTGGCTTGAGTAACTGTAAATGCATCATCAACTGAGAAGACTAAATTCAATTGCTGGTGAGGCTTTGAATGGTGATCTTTAACACCGAGGCAGATCAAGTGGGGGAGGCTGTACAGACTGCAACTTGCCAACTCCATTCTCAACTAGAAAAGCCATAGCCAAACCCCAGTTGAGATGTGAATCTAGATGACAGTGCAACAACCACATTCCTGTTTCAGACCAGGTGAGCAATGTGAGGTATCATATCAGTCACTCTGTTCAATACTGAAACCAAACTAAATATATTAAATGTATATGCATAGTCTCCCTGTATTACCTGGATTATCAGCCTCGAATCGGATGGCTACCCATCCGCCAGGAGGGTTTCCAATGGTATTTCTAAATGGTGGATCAATTAGGTTGAACTTTGCTGGATCTGTTCGAGGGTTGAAGTTACCAAAGCCTGACCCTATAACTGCAAAATGGTATCCATGGAGATGCATTGGGTGGTTCTCGATTGTGACTATACTGGTATCCTGGAACACTATTTGTACCTTTGCACCAAATTTCAATTTGTAAACCTTGGTTGCTTTAACAGGCTGCCATAGTCCTCGGGGGACATTGCCAGTGTAATCAAATTGTATAGGGGGAACAGGTGGAAAGTCCGTGGTAAAGATTCCAGGTTGGCCTTGGTAGTAGGCCTGCATTAAGGAGTTTCTTCTTGGTTGTACAAAAGACACATTGTTTATGCTAGCTGTGAAACGAGTTCCATTTGGACCTTGGCAGCGAGGGCTGTTAGGATTGGTGCAGTTGATGAGTCCTAATCCCACTGTGAAAAACAGGTTGTGATCGATCTGAAGGGGGACTTTAACCTTGGAAGGGCTCCTTAGGCTGGAAGTGAATGCAATTGCACTGTTTGTGTCATTGAAACCTGGTAGTTGTGGGAAGATAGGTGTTGACGACTTCCCGTTCTTAGCATTGCAAGGAGCAGATTTGTATTCGAGGATTGCAGTTGTGGTGGTATTGTCAAAAGGTGCATTGGCTGAGTTATAGGCATGAGCTGCCATGTAGTAGCGACCTGGGGTTTGATCAGCAGTGATAAGGACATCGGTTGTCTGACCAGGTGCTATCATGATGAATGGGGTTGTGAAAGGCTTGGTGTAGGAAGCATCAACTGCAACTACTGTCATTCTATGGTTGGCAACTGCAAAGAAGAGTTCTTGGTTCAGGGCAGAATTTATGATCCGTAGTAGGATTGTTGCGCCAGCATCCACAGGAAATCTCTCAGTTTCTATATTGTCAAAACCACAACAGAAGTGATATTATGGTCAATGGTTAGTGAAAATTCAAGTTACAGTTAGAGCTGAATAAATCCAAAAGCTAAACTGGCAAACCTTGCTTGGAGCATCTGTAGAGATCGCCGGGTTGGCCATTGATGGTATAAGCATCAGACACATTTGGTGCTGCACCTGTGAAATCTGATATCCTTTCGACATCCAGAGGGTTCCTGTCCCACCACTCCCCTGTTAATCAAAAACATAATCAGTTGGTCAGCTATGCCACCATCTACTGATTTGAAGACTTTGAATTCAAAATGAAATATGGGTTACCAAGAAGAATGGGAATTTCACTCCTGGGCATTGGGAATGGGTATGGAGAACCCAATTTAGGACGAATGATTAGAGCACCATAAACGGTGGCTCTAAGCCATCTGCTATGAGCATGCCACCACAAAGTCCCCTCTTGATTTTGGATTGTGAACCGGTAGGTATAACTCCTTCCTGGTTGGATAGGGCATTGAGTGATGCGATCAGGTCCATCTGCCCATGGATTTCGCAGCTGTCGGATTCCATGCCTGATTCATCCAGACGCAACAATTGATCATGAGCTAAAACATGCATGTATGTATATGCGATTTCTCCTTTTTCCTCATCTACTTTCATAGCATGTTTGATAATTACCAGTGGAGGGTAATATTGTATCTAGCATTATTTATTGCTTTGATCACAAGAGAGTCGCCATCGCGCACTTGCAATATTGGTCCTGGAAATAGCCCATTCACTGTAATTGTGCTATGGGTTCTGCACAGCCTCTTCACTGGTCTAGCTTGAATCTGTTTCAATCCAGAAAACACAGGAAAAAGGAATTACTTCATAGCTTCATTCACACACACACACATAATAAGAAGATAGTAATGAAGAGAGCACATACAACAAAATCATGGTAGTGAGTTTCTGCTTCAGAGAAATGAGCTTGGAAACTGAAGATTGCAAAAATGCTAAGAAAGAAGCAGTAGGAAAATTGCTTGACAGTCAAGTTATGAGTCTCCATTGCTTTCTTAGCCTTTGTTGTATAAACTTATGAGAGATGATGTGTAAGCCTAGGAAGACCATGTATTTATACTAAGATAAAGCAGGGAAAGGACAGGACAGGACTTGAACATTTCTTTCTTTCTTTTTTCTCTTTGAAAGGGAAGTGTTTAGGCAGATTAGGTTATAGGAGTCAACAGTGACACTAACAAGTTCTTGGGACGGTTTTGTCTAACCATAAAGGGGATTTGGTGCACCCACTTGCCCCCATCAATATTTTGATTAACCAAATGAAGATTCTGCACTGAATGGACAAAGGCACATATGCACCAATCATATGATCTTGCTGCTGGGCTGTTGCAACTCATACTCTTCTGGTATTTTGGAGACTTATGCTTTAAAGGCCCAATATCTTCATTACTATTTAGCTTAGTGGTGAATTGACTTGTTTCACTATATATGCCAATTGGTTTGCAATTACAATCTTCTTTTCTCTCTCTTTATTTAGTGGCTATATGGTATCTTTGGGCTAGCTTACATGTACTAATAAAACTTAAGATCTGATCAAACTACTGGGTCGTCGGATTATTAGTTCAACGAATGGATCATTCGTCGGACTGCTAAATTGTTTATATATATGAAGGCACCAAGTTCAAACTACATTTTTTTTTGGTAAATCGACTACATCTTGATCCATCGGTCCCTCTAGCTAGGTTTCATCAGATCGAATCCTTTGCGTATATGATCTTTGACATCAATTTAAACCGATTAAGTGGTCGGATCATTGGATTTTCGATCAGACTAAACGATCATTTCTGGATTTAATAACTTCTAGAAAAATAATAAAATTACCTATTTGCGCCGCTTTTAATCAGTTAAAGAGTAATTCTCTCTCTACTCTTTATGCATTGACTAGGTAGATTCCATTGGTACATACAATATTATTAATTTGAGGTGTGATTTAGGGGAAAATATTCAGTAAGATTAGTATTATTTTAAGAGAAAATTGGCTTAAACAACTAGCAAATCACACGACCTTTCACCTTCTGTGGAATAAAAATCACATCATTTCTTCGAAGATAAAAATTGTTAAATTGACTAACAAAGCTCTACTAACAATAGAAAATGAAAAAAAATTGATACCTTTTAGCTTCGTCATGATTAGACAATTGATTAAGTAGAAGATCAGTTGTTAGCTCAACCATTATAGACTGCCTATCGACCCCATGTGGACAAGTCATTTTTCTCTGCTGGTAAATAAAATAGAAGATCAAATGTTCTCTTTCAAGTTCAAAACTTTCAAGGTGCAAAAAATCTTAGGACAGTTGGGGTAAGGTTGAATTTTGGATTGGGTTTGGTGGAAGGAGGAGAAGGATAATGAATGATGCAAGCTTTTCTGTTATCAGCCCATTTGTTAAGATGCCTGCAAATAGTTTAATCCCAAATTCCATGGGCTTGACAATGGTGATGTTGTTTGACTACTTATATTTTACATTCTAATGACTAGAGAGGAAGAAAAGAAGGTCAAACATCACGTAGATATAATTATGGTTAAATGTTATTGAATTTTAAATCGTTGGAAATTCATTTTTTTCAACTTCCGGTCTTTCTTTAATTATTTTTTATTTGAAATTGAATATTTTTATTAGATTTCTATCAATTTTAACGGTAGAAGTATGTATGAATTTGATGTTTTAACTTTTTCAATAATTAAAAAATTATTAAAACTCATGGTGTTTTAGTTTTTCTTTCGAAACTTATCGCTTTCCGTCAAAATGTTCTTTTAATGCTTACCTTTAGCATTTAGAAAGACATAAGGCGACGTCAAGACTCATGACCTCGGATCATCGTCAATGGGGTTTTTTGACTAGTTATATTTTACATGCTAAAGACTAGACAGCCAAGAGGAGAGGAAAGATGGTCAAGCAATATTCGTATATACATATATAGCTTAACAGTCCAAACTAAAATGAATATTTTAATTCTTAATTTTGGACTGATTTTCTCTCAATTATTTTTTATTTGAAATTGAATCATTTTACTAGGTTTCCATAAATTTTAATTATAGAAGTACACGTGATTCGTGCATAATTAATTTTTTAACTTATCCAAAAACTAAAAATATGCCAAAAATCTATGTATATTTTGCTTTTCCTTCCAAAATTTATATCTTTCTTTCTAAAATATTTTTTAATTGGTTAAGAGAGAGAAAAATAAGTTTTGAAGAAAAAAACGAAACATTTATAAGTTTTAGCATATATTTAAATGTTAAAAAATTACACTTATACAATAAAATTGAAAAAACAAAAAATTCAACAAAAAATCCAATTTCAATAGAAAATTTGTTGAAAAAAATTCTAACACAAAATTAGAAGTTGAAGAACTCATCTTCAAATGACTTGAAATTTAAACCGTTTGGTATATAAGTATATAAAGGAATTGATTTCTCGAAAATTTGGGTTTGAAACCAATTTTTATTTTTATTTTATTTATTTATTTATTTGGATCAAACGGTGAACTTGAATATCTACAAGTGGGGGTTTAAAATTGAAAATTTCAAGCACAATTAGAACTTTCAAGTCCTGAATTCAACCAAGTGAGGATTTGAATTCATATCCTCTTGTAAATGCGATAGACGTTACTCCTTCAATCGGCAATTACTTGCAATAAATCACTAATGACCTATTTTTGGACATGAGTGTTTTCATTTGTGCTATTGTCATTATTTTTTTTTTAAAAAAAAAAGAAGAAAAAACCTCACTAACAACTCATCATGTTTGTTTTACTAGTTTTTCAACAGAACAAGTATACGTAGACATCAATAAAGGCACTAGTTAATTCATTAAGTACTTTTCTTCTGTATTAGGTGATAAATATTGAATTGAGGAGCAGGTCTGGCCGGTCTACTTCCAGGTTTTCATCAATACTAGAAAAAGGAACAATACCTTAGGGCTCAAGCAACTTCATGTGAAGCTTCCTCCACTCCCCCAAATTTTCTTTGGAAGAATATAACATCTTCAGTGGCACCTGGAAACGCAGGATTCCATAGAGCATAACAAATTAGGTAGCCTGCCAATTGACTTGGAAGTATAGTTTTGTGCCCAAAGATGAAGCTTATACACATACGTGTTCCCTCATGACAATATTCTGTTGGGACTGTTAGCATAGTAGGGCCATTTTGTTATCTAACAAGCTTAGCCTGACAGCAACTTTCTAAAATAACATCTGCCCAAATCCAGTGATCTAAGAGGGTGAAGTCTAGAATACCGGCCTCGGCAAAACTCCGATGCCGGTTAAACCAATGGATTTGAATATAAAGACAATTAGCAGGGGCAAAGGTGAGCATCATAGCAACCCCCTTATCAATGGTTTAACCCGATGAACTGGAGTAGAACATATCTAAGTTTGAATTGAAAACAGGCCTTTTTAGGTTCACAGATCAAGCAATATATTCCTATGCTTCTTTAAAGTTCAAGCAACATGAACAAAAAATAACAAAGGATGCATTGCACAAAAGCATACGTCAAGAGTACAAAGATACAAACCTGTGCTGTGTAAAAATTGAAAGAATATCCAAAGAAATTGTGAAAATCTGGCACAAAATTTCCAAAATAGCACTGGTTGGCCACGATGGCTAGTAGACTTATACCAATCCAGCAGGGAAATCGCATGGTAAAATATGAGTCCAAAGAGAGTATCAGTCACAGAGCTTGAGCACTGTGTTCCACACTGCCTATTGTCGACAGGAAGTGCAGTAATTCCAGATCAGGTGCAACTCCAAAAGCCGAAACAAAATGCCTGCCAATCAGGCAAAAACACATTAAGCAACAATCTTTATATTTGAGCTGCCTGCTGCTTCAATGCCTGAAATAACTTGATTTTTGACTCGCAGATCTTAAGAAACTGGGACAATAAAGAAGAGTCCCCAGTCACTATCTTCCTCGCAACATCAAGGGGACTCCAACTCTTCAATTCTTTGGAAATCCGATCACCAACTTCAGCCTCATTTATGGATGGAATTAAACTTTCTAGAATATGGAAAACACGCCCAGGACCTTCATCCTGTTCCTTTTTCCTAAGAGAGGAAAGTATAATCTCCAAACTCTCATCCTCCGGTCTGTCAATCTGACCTCTGATCCATTTTGCAACCTCCTCAACTATATAATATAGAGATTGGATTGAATCCCGAATGTCATTAAACACCAGAGATGTATGCTGGTCCATAGGTCCACCTTTCTTCTTTTTCTTTCCAGATGGAAGAGATGATCGTACGCAAGATTGAATCACAAGACCATGCCAAGCCAATGGCTCCGTAACCAATTGCACTAAAATTGGAAGATCAACCCTTGGAGAGCAAAAAAGAGACTCCCTGGATTTGATCTTCTCTGAAATATACTTCACCAGCAAAGTATCCACTACATGCCAAATACCACCCCCGAACTGATCTCCATTTGGCTGCAAGGGCTCATGGGAATTCAAATTCCAAGCATTCAAAAAGACAGCAAAGTTTATCCAGTCAATCTTGTCCGAACCAAAAGCCTGCATCAAATGCAAACACAAAATTTACACAACGACATACCAAGTTCTAGTGATATTTAAGTGATCCGTATTTGGTGACTTCAACATGGGAAGCTGGTGATCAGCAGTTACTGATTTTTTGAAAGACCATAATTTTAACAAGAAGCACAAGCATTTTAAATATATAATAACTTGGTGTGCAACCAAAGAAATTATGGTGGAAAAAAGGTAAGATAACCTGCCAAATACACATGCTTTCACACCTACAACAGTGTCTCATGCCTACATCATCTCATCTCTGTGTGAACCAGAATTATATGACCATGTCAAGAAGCATATCATGAAAAATAGAGAGAAGTAGAAACGAATGGAATAAGATTGAAAGCACAGTTATACCTCAAAAGATTTGACGCCACTGGAAACCCCCATAACCACTTCGACTGCATCACTTAAAGAAAAGCCTAACATCTTTGCATGCTGCTCAAGCAAAAACTTAAACTCTGAGGAGATTTTAGACATAGATATAGACCCATTTTCTTCAACATTCTCCTTAAGTGATGCTGAAGCACTGTGAATAGACAGATAGATAATCCGAGGGAGAAGGGATTTCCGTTCAATAACTCTCCGCACATTTCCTTCCCTTTCTTTTGTCTATATTAAAGTCAAGAAATAGAAACTAAAGGGAATTAGGAACATACAGAAAAGTCCATTAAGCATATGGTTTGCTATCACCATATATTACATACTGAAGCATATGAATGAAGAAGTTCCTTACCAAGTTTTCTTTAGGACAATATGACACTCCTTCAAATGGACCTGGGAAATGAATCATGTCAATATACAAGAGAATTCATAGAGACAGGAAACAAGAAAACATCATAGCTTCTTCAATACCACTGAATGTAATATGGTGACTTAAAAAATTTAGATATTAAAAAATGACATCCACATGACTAACCTAAAAGATAATTTTTTTCTGAAGTTGGTGTCCACCAAGGCCGTGATTGGAAATCTTCATTGAATGTCAAGGTTTTCGATCCAATCTCATTGGATAGCTCAACGAAGTGAATTCCACCATTCAAGCTTTCAAGAACACGCTGAAAGACAACATATTCATCTGTCATCAGACACAAAGGTATGCTATTAATAGCTGGAGTTGAAACAGATGAAAGTGATAAATACCTCTTCTTCTTCAATGTTATCTGCCTTTTGTTTTAGCTGTAGAATGGGTGTTTCAACCCGTGCGACTAAATACTGACTAGATCGTTGCAATTGCTCTTTAAATTGAACAAACTCTATTACCTGAAACACAAAGTAAGAGGACTGTCTTAATTACAATCATTTCAATACTGTATCCCATTCAATCTAAGGGCATATTACCAGATTCATGGGGATAAAGCAAGATACAGAACAAACGTTTTAGGTGGACAAAGGCAAAGACCAAAAAATGCCAGTCATCCACAGGTAGACAATCTAATCAAGCAATTGGAAAGATAGCTATATCCAATGAACCGGCAAACAATTCACAGTATCATCTAAGATTTATTAAAAAAAAAAAAAAAAACTCGCAATAAATTTTCAACACGAAATAAAAATAAGTAGATTGATAATGCAGCATACTTTAGAGTAATTTCTATGGCGATAAGCAAGAAATGTCAGATCTGCAGATTCCCTGAAGTGGTCATCCATAAACCTGAGGTAATCTTTTAGCAGATTATTCAAATCCCCCCAAAGAGGAGATACCGACATCTGTGGCAAGATGTGGTGCGAAACAGTTTCCATCAGAATGTTCTTCACGTCCAAAGATTTATACCTACACAGAGATTTAGAGAGCTGCTTTGGAACTTAGGAAAACCAAGGTACTTTGATAAGTATAAAAGTGGGGCAGACTGAGTAACCCAGTGGCTAAACAGAATTGGAAATAAAGGCCAAAAGGTAACAGTATTTCATCAACTAACAAAGTAAAATGCATATTAAAGATCTTCACCATTCATAAGCTAATGAAATTGCACCCAAGTGTGAATACAAGTGCAACAACAAGATCTTGTACTGCCATATATATCTGCCAAAAAATGACACAAAAATTAGTTTGATGAATGTGAAATACCCAAAACAGCTTACAGTTTCTGGCAGAAAACCAATGGTCTCACATGCTTAGCATCTGTATCCATTAATCATCAATCTTTTTTCCTCCAGAACACTTAATACATGCATTCTTTCATAAATCAAGCAGAATTTCTAATGCCAATTAAAAGCATACAAGGCAGCCCAGACAAAATATATCTCCCACATATTTGCCTACATCATTAAAAAGATTTAGAACTCTTAAAATGCCATGTTTGACATTACATTACAATATCAACAGTGAAAAAATATCTTACCTTCGAATAGTCAAGCCAAACTCCAAAACCATAATCGCCTCTAGGAAGTAGCCAAGATTTCTTGTACGCCAGAATAGCTATTTAAAAAGAAAAGGAAAGGAAAAAAAAAGGCAACGAATATATATGAGCATAACCTCAAAGAGTGTTATACAGTAGTCAATTCAATAATGAAATTCTCGTAACTAGCAAATCTATTCATGAAACAAGTTCCAGAAGAATGCCAGGCAATACAAATCCCTTCTCGCACACAACAAGGTAATAGGAATGCCTCCCTCCCCACTTCCCCACCCCACATCACACAACAACAACCCCCCCCCTCCTCCTCCTCCTCCTCCTGTCAATCTCTCTCTCTCTCTCCACACACACACACACACAAAAGTAGCCATAAATCCATGTGTTGTGTGCATGCATGCACACACACGCTAACCTAGACATCAACTTTTGGGAGGGCCACCTCAATAATTAGGCAGCCATAAGGTTATGAGAATCAGAACATAAACTTCATATGAAAATAAGAAGATAAGATCATGTGAAAAAATTTCGCAAAATATTTCAGTAAGTCAAATAAAAGACATTTCATGGACTCAAGGAGACTTATTGCCCCAGCTAGTGTGAAGTCGCACTTAGGATACCATAAAACCCATCCTCATATCCAAGCGTCAGCCAATACATATGTTTTCAAACATCTGATCGCAAGCAGTGAAAGCTTTAAATGAGATACCTGAACCAATACATTGCACACCATAGATAGCAGCTCTTCACCATGCATGCTCTCTTGTGAATCCAAATCCTTTGAAAGTGGAAGGCTTTTACAATACATCTCCACCATTTGTACACAACAGCTCTCAAGTTCTAAGGAAGGAGGGAGGAAATTAATATCATTGAATTAAAAAATAACAATGAATGAAAAGCCAATTCAATTAGAATTAAACACATTACAAGAAAGGAGAAACAAACATGAATAGAATACATAGTTGGGAACCTTCTACAAGAAAAAGTGTACGGAAGACTCAGAGTATAAAGAGGATACATTGACTGAACACCACGAAATTTAAAAGAAAAAGGTGGTGGTGAATTATGTCTGTCATCACTCTGATACCACATGGGGCATTAAATCAAATGTATGGCTACAAAATCAGAAATATGAGAGTAAGAACTATAACCAGGAATCGTTCAATTTGGATGTGCAAAAGTTGTGTTGGGTGATTACGTGTATGTGTGTAAATAAAACACTCACCAGGCACAGGAAGCTTGTACATGTTCCCAGTCAATTCCTGAATTTTGAATACTGTGATTGACTGTCCAAGCATTTTAGTTGGCACTGTAGCAGGGGAGTCTAAAGTTTTCATTAACTTTGCCAGAAATTCTGTCTTTTTATCTGGAGTTAAGACTTGCATAAATGCCTCAACATCAGAAGCGAAGCTTGCTAACGGACCAAACCTGCATTAAACAAGGAAAAAAATCTTTGTCTTAAATGGTTCCAAACGTTCAATGATTTTGATTATATTTTTTACAGCAAAAGGGCCAACAACATAAAGAAATATTGGAAACATTTTGTAAGAACTAGGAATTTCTTTCAAGCATATTAATGGCTGACTAATAGTTGTAAGGAAGACATAAATAGTTCATCAAGTCATAACTCCATATCCGTTATTCACCAAATGCAGAAACAAAAATATTTTGTCACGAACATCATGCACAAATAACACTCGGTCAATAATTCAATAAAGGTTAAGAAGAAGAGAAACAGTAACATACTTAAGAAAAAATTGCATTAGAGCCTCCACAATATCATCAGCATTGTCCTTTCCATGTAAGCTCTTCCTCCTCTCAATTTCAAGAGTCGCCAAGTACAGACATCTAATACAATCATTACTGGTGTCTGCTAGTAATTTTTTCACAAAGGCTGATGCAACTGATATACGAGAATCAAACTGCACAACCAATTTGCAAAAATCAAAATCTGCATAAAAAAATTCACAAAAAGATCTACAAGAAGGATGCAGATGTGACAGAAAATACAAACTACTGATAAAATTCAAGTGTGGTAAATATGCACCACTTCATCTGCCAATTGCGAGACTTTGCAATCCACTAATTTTGGGGGATTAATTGGATCGTTGTTGGCTCCATTGCTCCAGCTGCTGTCATCCTCCAGCAAACAGCCTAGATAATGTAGGAAACACTCCCAATCATCAGGGCTGCCAGATGAACCAACCAAGATTAACAGCTAAAAAATATACATCCTGGAATGAAATGATCAAAATAGAAACATCTGGAAAGGAAACAGGAAATAATTAGTTCATCACAATCTCCAATAAAAGGGCCTCTACTCAATATTCTACAGCAGTCAAACTTTAGCAAATGCCATGCTGGAATACCAAATTTAAACATGTAGATAACAAGCAAGCAAATCCATAGTGACCTCGAAAGAAAATAAAAGGTGGCTAAGTGTGGATTATCTATCACAAGGGATGCTTTAAAAATTGCCAGGTGATCCGTATAAGGCCAACAGCAAAATTGCATACCTCTGACAAGAGGGAAGAATTTAAGATAAGGTCTCAGGCTTGTAGTTGCAAATTCTATTCCAAAATTACCTAGAAAATAGTTAGCTGGAGCTTTGCTGACAAGGCTATATTCAATGAAAAAAAGTAAAATCTCTGCAATAGAGTATCAGAGAAAGCATTCCATGACACCTAGGCACTTGCTAGATCATCAAAATGTGGGTTTCCAAGAATTGGCTGCTTTCACAAATAACCCTATCTACTTAAACAAAGATCAAGTTTTCCCAAAAGTATTATGAGAGACTATTCTCATTTCCTCGTAATGCTACTGCAATCTGTTTGACATCATGGTTCAGGGTCACTGCTGAGTGGCTAAGTCAGTAATTTCCAACTTACAAGTTACAGCTGTACTCTGTAGGACATTTTAAATAAACCAATTAAACCCAAATCTAACCATAACACCTGAAAAGACTCCAAGAAAAAAAGAAAAAAACTGTCAAAACAAGTCCCCATATATGACTTCACTTTACAGTGCCCACATTCCTTGGAGAGGTAGAAGGATAACACCCAAAAATAAGCCCATCTGGATTAACCTGGTTCATGGCCAGTCAGAAAATAAATATTGAGTTCATGTACAGCCAGAACCCTAAACAAGGACATATGCAAAAGAGTCTAAATAACTGCCAAAAAATCTAGAACTGAAAACACATTCAACATGCAAGTCAGCTGCTTATATTAGTTATATGGTCCTTCAAGCAGTTAATCAGAAAGAAACATAATGATAAACTGAACTAAATAATGATATGATGTTATCTCAAATGAAAATAAGTGGGGAAATGAAGAAAGAAAATTAAGTGAGGCTAATAATTCAGCAAGTAGAAGAAATAGACAGCTATAAATCACAAAAAAGAAAAGAACTGTCCTGATTTATTTATTACAATTTACAATACATAGCAGAACACTATTTAGCTAAGTGGAATGATCTTAGTTGCCTCAATTGGTGATAAAAATCTCAAAACTGAATTCACAAAAGTGCAAAATTTCTCACACATACCATAGTTCTAAGATCTTCCGATATATGTCGGCACCAGAAGCATAGTCACCTAACCGAGCAAGAAGCCTCCCCTGTCAACTTAAAGTCAAAGAGTACCAAGTTGATAAGGAAACCAACAAGTAACAAGAAAGAAGTTCCAAGAAAATACAGGCAAGACAGGGAGATATGATGTGTTTTAAGCTTTTATAGCAACAAAGTTATCTGAAAAGATGCAACTTGAATGTTGGAAACGAAATGATGAAAAAAACAATGTTCTTTTATAGAAAAGGGTCCAAGTTAAGGTGAAACCAAAACCATAAGAATAGATGAGGAAGCCTTCATTAGGATTCATTTGATGAGCAGGTGTCATTTCTCAGCACAAAAGCCTATGTTTCATTGAATATGTGGTCTATGCAATTATACAGGCATAGCCCTGGCAGAATTTAGCCCAAAAATAGATCAACTAAAACATTTTTAGCATTCCCAGGAATATTGAGAAAAAAAAATGTCTTATCAGATGCTCTATATTTTCTTCCCAACGTTCATGATTCAGTGTTTGCCTGGATTAACCTTAAAAAAAGAAGTATATTGACAAGTTTGCAGTCTGCTTTGTCAAAAAAGAGTCATGTAAAAGCTCAAAAGAAGCTGCAGCAAAGAAATGCTATTGCGTGGCTGATGGACTTGTTAACTAAGTCATTATTCTGAGAATTCAAGTTTCCATGGCGTAAACCTTAAGAAGGTGTGTGGAAGATCATCACATACTCTAAAATGGTGTCACTTCAACTCTCTTGTGGAATATAAGTTACAGATCATCTATGTCGTTTACACCTATTTTCCATATTAGCAAATCTTCTTTTCCATTCTAGCTTTCTTCTAGAATGCCTTCTTTCCTTGCCAATAATAGCTCACCTTGTTTTTGCTAGATAAGTTCAGTTTCTCATACCCAAAACAATAAAGAAAGATAAAAGTTTCATAGCAAAACTTTTGAGATGTCCATTATAAGATTGTATAAATTCAAAAATGTAAAATATTACTCGATTGTCAAGAAGTACATTTAAGATAAAAATAAAAAAATAATGTTTCAGAAAATACCTGTATGCGTAGCTTATCAACTTCAATCATTAATAGAGATCCCAACTTCCCAGAGAGAATTTCCAAAGCATCACTATACTTTGCTTGCTGTTCTAATATGGAAACATAGACAATAAGAGCTGCAACAGAGTTTCCACAATCAGAAGAGTGATCACTAATGAATGATAGCATTTCAAATTTTGGCAACAGATAAGGAACTCACCTTCAGGCTCATGCAAACTGTGGGAAGCTACATGCTTCTTAAGTAACCCTTCAGCTAGCATTGACAGTTTCTCTCCTCCATTGCCACAAAATACCTGCCAGAAGTTCAGGGCAAACAAAATAAGCAGCTAGACAAGACATTCCACCCAGGCAAGACAGTGTTTTCAATAAACAAGCATTGTGAGGACATAGTTGCATGTAGAAATGGTGAGAAACTTCTTAGAAGAAAATTTGTTTAGGTTTTTACCCTTTCATGACAGAAATGGATATGATCAAATATCTAAACTATACACTAGGCCAGAATACATTCTATGGAGATTGGTTAACAGAAATAAAACAGCTAAAATAAAGTCTAGATAACATAATGATTTAGATTACTAAGCAACACCAATCCAGATCACAATGAGAAAAAAGGTTACAAGTGCAAAGAGAGCAAAGGAATGAGAAAAAAGATTGGGAAAATCACCTTAATTATTGCTTCAGATGACTAAGTGTTCAATTACAATGTTAGATTACATTGAGTCCATTGCTAAAGTACCAGGAACTGGCATCATATCTAAAATTTGTTTGATAGGTTAGAAGCCTAGTAATCATAATGATAATTTAACAGAAGCATTTTTCATGTACATCCAGCAGAAAATCAGTTAAATGTAAAGATGATATTGACAATAAGCACATTGCATGGCGAATGACAATAGGAATGAGAATGTAATTTGGCTTTGACAAGAGTTAAATTGGAGGACTGGGTTCAGATCATTATGGCTTTAGTTTCAGATATTAGCTAGCTGAAAAAATAAAAAAGGAGGAAAATCTAATGCTCCATACCCTTAAATTTATAAAAATCAAGATTGCTTAAGTGTTCATGTTCTCAGTGAGGCAGGTAGTTGTCCATAAATAACTTGCAAGAGACAATGGATGGCAAATTGTTCATGACATAGATCATAATCTCTCCACAAATTATCTCATGCACTCTAATATGTTATTTGTACATGACAAAGCCATGTTAGCCAATATAGTCACATTATGTCCCAGTTACAGTTCTCAAAGGCGTTGAGCTGAGATGTGAGATGCATGCATGAGAACCCAATGTGAGATGCATGCATGAGAACCCAATTTTGTATCCTTTTTCAAAAAAAAAAAAGGCTTGCAGTGTTTCAAACCTGAAACCAGATCGGACTGTTGAACCGCTGCAACCTTCAACAGATTCGATCTTGGCTTTGCAAACTGTAGGTTTTTGGAGCAATCCAAACTGCATGCAGGTATTTTTCTTAAAAAAATTGTTTTGCTTAAAAAGTACCTTGTTCAAAACACGTGTCTTGAATTATATTACAAAGTTAAAAGATATATAGTTACATTCATCCAGTAAGTGACCTCATTTGTTCATTCCTTTTCTCAATTTTGAATATTATGTGTTAGCAGTAATCTAATCAAGCATGAATGCAAATGTTCAAAACTTGACTTAAGACCATACCAACAACAACAACGAAGCCTCAATCCCTAATTAATCAAAGCCAGCTATATGGATCCTTTAGCGCCATTCCACATGATCATGAACTAAATCCACCTCAATACCAAATTTAGATCATACAAATTTTCAAAATTCTAAGGTTGAAAGGAAGCCAGGGTGATATTTGTTAATTAAATCAATGAGCCTTTCACCACAAATCGATAAAAGTCATATTGCAACTTTGGAACCAATAATTTAAAACAATATATATGCACACAATGTGACAAGAAATAATAGTAGCATAAAGAATAAATACTAACAAATCATGAGCACATGTTTAACAATATACAAGCAGGGAAGGCTGCTATGACCTGTAATTGGATGCTACAGACTGCCCAAAGCAAAAACCTTTCTTCACCAACAAGCTTGTACATTTTGATGGCCGTCTGCCAGAAGATAACACCATAGTTAGAAAATATTAGCCTAGTTGTCCCACAAATCTGCATCAAGCAGATATCAGGACATAGCAACAAAGTTCAAAGATGTCAAACAAGAAAAAGAACACCAACCTGCTGCTGCTTCACAAACGAATACTCACGAACATAACAATTGAAAAGTCCCATCATTAGTTCCAAATTGCTTGGAAATTTACTGCAAGCATACTCATAACATCCAGTAGCCAAATCCACTGATCATATTCAAAGGGTTAAAAAACATTAGATTTATTACAATATAATGCATAGAAACAGATAACCTCAAACCAGTAAAGCAGGTACTAACAATGATCAAGCCGCTGAAAAACAATCTGCAATGTACTGAGAGTGAGGTCATCCATCAGCAAGGAATCATTCTTGTATAAAAGCTCCTTAGCATTTAAGCAAACTGATAATGCCTCATCAGATTTACCCATCCTTTCCAAAATGAGTGCCTTTAGCGCCTGCATCATCACAACATGCCAATTACTCCAAATAACCCACCACTTCAATTCTAATATAAATGAACAACCAACACCATATTTCTAAAAGCAATTAACTCTAGCCATTCAACAAATAATCTATATACTATGAAAACCACATCCTCAAAACCAAACTCTAAAGAAATAAGATTCACCAAATTATCCATATATTATAAAAAGTACATCCTCAAAACCAAACTCTAAATAAGCAAGCTTTATAAACATCATAAACAATGGGGAGACCCTATGCTTCTAAAAGCAAACACTCCAAGCAATAGCCAATAATCCCCCCATAAAAAAAAAAAAAAAACCAGCATAATCAAATATTTACACATCCATACACGCTCTACATAACATTATTTAGTAAATTCATTAAGCCATTATTTCGCCCAAGAGAATAAAGAAACACACGCAGTCCCACGCATGCATTGCAAATTTGGTGAGAAAAACAGTTAACTAAAAAAACTACTACTAATTATGCTAGTTGATAAAAGAAAAAAGCTCGGCAGGGTAGGCTATCATAAAACACGCATGGGTGAGTGCATGCATTGCAATTTGCAGATATTGACGAACTAAACCAAACCCTAAGCAGAATCCAATTAGCAAAATGAACCACAAAATCAGTTTCATTAACAGAAAACTCACACACAAAATCACTTCATTTCAAGCAACTAACAAACAAGAGCTGAATTAATCTAAGAAGGAGTTGAAATCTTACGAGTGCGTAAGGTGAATTAGGGTGTTTAGCGAGAAGTGTAGTAGAGTGTTTAAGAGCATTCTTGAACTGACGAGAATCGATAGCGTCCCAAATTGGTCTCACTCGCCGTTCCGGTATCCCTCCGGCTAACCCGAACTTCGATGCCATGGAATCTTTTTTGTTTTCTCGAGAAAATTAGGGTTTATTTGCCAGGGTTTCCAATCTTTATTTTTCTCCGTGCAGGAGGTGACAGAGTTTTCTTTCTTTTGGTTCCTGTTTGGGGAATTTGGTTTATTTTTGAAATGAAACCTAGAGGATGAATGGGGCTGTTTGGATACGGGAGTGGAAGGAGACTGGACTGGGTGTGCCATGATTGTAACCTGGTTTGGCTGGGCTTTCCTTGATCCAGTCAACAAATGCTATGGGTCATGATACTGTAAATCCAAAGCCCAAAATGTTTTTGGGCCGAATAGAAACATTACTGACCCAATTGAAAAATGTCCAGAGCGATAGAGATGGCTTTAATAAAGGAGGGATTTGAAGTATTTTCTTTTGACAAGAAGGATATGAGCACAAGAAAAGGATTGGAAAGCTTCCTCGTCGTCGTTTGGATGGATGTGCTCTTATTCTTTTTTTAGATAATTTTCAATAGCACAAGAAAAAAACTTTATCTATATATATATATATATATATATATATATACAAAACAAATCAGAACACAAAGTTAGGTTTTAAAAAAAGAATCAATAACATCACTCAAAACAATACACAAGACTCGAGAAAGGATGATATCAAAAGACGACGAATAATCATTACTTTATGGAAAAATATTTCCTGTAAGAAATTCTAACAGACGGTGCTAATAGAGAAATCAAAACTATCAGAGGACAAATTTGCTACAAAAAGTTGTTCGCGTACAAAACTGATACTAGCCGAATAATTGAGGGGCATGTTTGATATTTACCAATAAATAAAGATATTTTTTATTTCCTTCTACCAATCAAATGTTGCCATGTAATTTCATAACCAATCAAATCCATCTCTTATGTCATCGAAACAGAAAAAAAAAAAATCCAAACTTCTACGACTCCAAACAAAACAAAAGTCATATCCTTTAACGTCCTCTAATATCCACGTGCTCTGCATGCTCGCCTCCTCCTCTTTCCGCCTGTTCCCCTTCAGCGCACGTTAGCCCCCTCCCCCGCCACCCACAGCTATAGTCCTCCGCCTGCGTTTCCATTGCTTTGATCGATCAATCAATTAATCAGAATCATGATGGGATCAGATAATAATCAGAGTTTTCAAGACGATAAAGAAGACATGGAATCTCTCACTCTCGACGATCCGTTAACTTCCACTACTAACAGCAACTACTTGTCGTTCGCTGATTACCGCTCTGCCACGTCGTCACTCCAGGATACTCACCACCACCCTCTCACCACTGCCGATTCCGATCCTCTTCTCTCTCCACCTCCCCCACCGTACTCCTCTGCCTCGGCGCCAGATTCCGGTGCGTATATTGAGCCGCCGGCTTATGCGGATGTGATTTTCAGTTCGTTTGATGAGAGTTCGGTTAATGAAAACAACGGTGTGGATAGTCATCATAGTTTGAACAGATCATCATCGAGTGATTCGTCGCAGTCGTTCTCGAGGTCGTTGTCAACGGCGTCGAATTCGTCCTCGGATTTCATCAAAATTACGGTTTCTAACCCTCAGAAAGAGCAGGACGCGACGAATTCGCTTGTGCCGGGAGGTAATACTTTTGTTACGTATTTAATCACTACGCGAACGAATCTTCCTGATTTTGATAGGTCTGAATTTAGTGTACGGCGTCGTTTTAAGGATGTTGTCACGTTGTCGGACCGGTTAGCGGAGAGTTATAGAGGGTTTTGCATTCCGCCGAGGCCAGATAAGAACGTGGTAGAGAGTCAGGTAATGCAGAAGCAGGAATTTGTTGAGCAAAGGAGAGTTGCATTGGAGAAGTATTTGAGGAGACTGGTTGCGCATCCGGTGATTAAGAGGAGTGATGAGTTGAGAGTGTTTTTGTCGGTACAAGGGAGGTTGCCATTGGCAACGAGTACGGATGTGGCATCGAGAATGCTCGATGGAGCAGTGAAGTTGCCTAAACAGTTGTTTGGTGAGAGTGTGGCTGTTGCTCCCAGTGAGGTTGTGCAGCCGGCGAAAGGTGGGAGGGATTTGTTGAGGATTTTTAAGGAGTTGAAGCAGAGTGTTGCTAATGATTGGGGTGGTGCAAAGCCGCCAGTTGTGGAGGAAGATAAGGAGTTTTTAGAGAACAAGGAGAGGATGCAGGATCTTGAACAGCAACTCAGTAATGCTTCTCAGCAGGTGGGTTTTGTAATAATTTTTTTTCTTGTGTGATTGGATATTTTTAATGATGAATATGTAGTTTGGACTTAAGGGTGATTGTTGTTTTGTTTATCTTTGCGAATTGTATTTTGTTTATAGGCTGAAGGGTTGGTTAAAGCGCAGCAAGATATGGGAGAGACAATGGGAGAATTAGGGCTGGCTTTTATTAAGTTAACAAAGTTTGAGAATGAAGAGGCGGTGTTCAATTCACAAAGAGTGAGGGCTGTCGACATGAAAAACGTGGCGACTGCTGCTGTCAAAGCAAGTAGATTCTACCGGGAATTAAATGCACAGACTGTGAAGCATTTGGTAATTTAAGCTGTTGATTGCGCCTTGCACCTTTCTAATTAAGTTGATTTGTCCATACATGTTATGTTTAAATGGCATTTTCTTTAATGGATCTATGTTCTATCTAGCTCCGTGAGAAATAAGTATGTATTACCAACCTTGCTCTAATTTAACTATATAAGCCTTTTGTCAAATATGCAACACCAAAACTTAGCCTGTTGGACTTAAGAATTGAATGCCCTGATGTTTTGAAGCATGCTTTCCTACATTCTTAAGTTGTTTTCTGTTTATGTTTCACCGGCAGGATACTCTCCATGAATATCTGGGGCTGATGCTTTCTGTCCATGGTGCTTTCTCGGATCGTTCTAGTTCTCTGTTGACAGTGCAAACTCTTGTATCAGAATTGTCCTCATTGCATTCTAGGGCTGAAAAACTTGAAGCTGCATCATCAAAAATATTTGGTGGTGACAAGTCAAGGATTCGCAAGATAGATGAGCTAAAGGAAACCATAAGAGCTACAGAGGATGCAAAAAATGTTGCAATCAGAGAATATGAGCGGATCAAGGTATTGTGTTTTTACTTTTCCTATAAAACTGTTTGAAACGTGACTTGACTTTTATGATATTGGATGATATTGTATCCATGGGAAGCTCCTAAACTTTGGTTTCTTTGATCAATTGGATTTGGGTGACTTGTAGATTCACAAGAAATTGTTAATTTGTCCTAGTCTCCCTACTGGTTTGGCTATTAAGATTGACAACCTACATTATGCTTGTGCACCTTCCTCTGGTCATTCAGCCCACAACCATCACTATCCACATGCAAACTTTTCACAGGGGAGATATAGTACTGCATTGACACACAAGTATGCTAACGCTAGTACATTAGCAACTAGTAGTAAACTGCATGTTTCATGGTTCTGGACCTTCAGTCCCCCGTAAAGATTGCATAATCATCAAAGTTGGCAATGGATGAATTGAGAGAAACCTTATAAGTCATCCCCTGCTTATTTGCATTTAATTGACGTGTAATTCAGTTCCCATTCAACTCACTAACCGTGACTGGCTTTTTAGAATGGCTATAATTAGTGATTCATTATTCCTAATTGCATAACTTTCATGGGATTTAATGGAAAATATTTGGTTTTTGATGAGCTGGGGGGCTCATGAATTGTTCAAGCTAATAGTCCACTGATATTTATGATATGCATGACTTTCATATATAATAAAATGAGGAAAATAGTCAGTGTTTGATGATGTAGAGTTTGCCTTATTAGCTATTCAAGTGAATATCAGCTGGTAGTTGCTCAACTTGCTCGTTTAAGCAGATGCTTGACACACTGTTCTACTTATGTGATTCACCCACATATATAATGAGATTTAATGTCTGGCTAAACTTCCACTAAAAGCAGGTTGTCAGAGTCTTCTTTTAAGAATTGGTGAGGGGAGAGATCCAGTTATGCATCTGGTGCACTAGCCTAGCAGTTGTCGTAATGGTAGTACAAGGAAAGCAAGTATCATGAATTCTTGATCTCTTAATATTTGGGAGTTTGTTGGTATGATGATGTGCTGACACTAGCAAATAGCCTGTCTGAGTGATATTCTTCTTCTTCTTCTTCTTCTTTTTTCCCAAGAATTGCTTGATCCCTGTATCTTCCTTTTTACATGTGATGGAGCTTTTTACTTCTATTCAGTTATCATGGCTACATAAGGTTACTACAGTTTAGGCTTGTGAAATGCTTTCAATTGATTATGAGGGGTGAAGTTGAGCCAATTGTTCTTCTTCAAGCACTTTGGTCGTTGGCATGGTAGTTAGTTGCTTTGCAGAAATTTGGTTCACTGGGCTGAACTGTGGTCAGAAGGCAAAAGTAAATAATCACAGCCTCCCAATTTGTGTGCTACATTCAGATTCTCTCATGCTTAGCTATTTGGTTATAAGTTACTATTTTGTGATTTTCGCAATAGCTTGAAATCTTTATGATTTTTTCATGTAGAAGTGATACACACATGAAAATAATTTTGTGATTGATGAGTATGCTGTAAGTTTCTTTTTATCTTTCATTTATGATCTGAGTATCTTAGTCTCTTGCTTTTTCTGGATATTTTAACACCCATCTTTAGCGAGTTGGATTTCCAAGTCGTATACATGGAAATTCCTCACTTCCTCTCTGTTTGTAATTGTTGCAAACTCATGACTTAATGGTGATTCTTTTGCAGGAAAACAACAGGAGTGAACTAGAGAGGCTTGACAGTGAAAGGCATGCTGACTTCCTCAACATGTTGAAGGGATTTGTACTTAATCAGGTATCTTTTATATTCCTGGCCCTATATCTGAGTTCTATAGGGAGCATCTATTTTCTTTTCAATCATGACTTAATGCACTTTTTTGTTAAAAAAAAATTAAAACTTATTTGCTGGACTAAATTTTGGTTGTATACAAAGTTATTTGGGCAACGCATGCAAGATCTGATGGACCATGCTGAAGAGTAACATTTTTTGCCGCTTCTGTTTTTCATTGATTATATATATATATATATATATATATAATCTTTTGTTTGGGATCCAGTAAGAGAATCCAATAGGAGCTGGTTATGGAGTTCCTTGACAGGCTTATCTAGAAGCAGGAATGTTGTTTGTGTTTGCATGTTTGCATTTCCAAGAGATAATTTAGTCATGGAGGATGGAGGACCCTAATTTCTTTGCGTTTCCATATTTTTCTTAGCTAGAGCATTCATTTATGGCTACAAATACATACATTTTCAAGAATAAACGCATCTCATGTACGGAATGTATATTGTTAGCATCTTGCAAAGCCAATACAGCTTAGCTCTATTTCCCATGTTGATGTGATTGTGACTTTTAACACACAGGTGGGATATGCTGAGAAAATTGCCAATGTGTGGGCAAAGGTCACTGAAGAGACGAGTGTGTATGCGAAGGAGAGCTCTTGAACGTGCAGCTGTACATTCGGATCTTCTGCTCTTATTTTCTCTTTTCTTTAGGTATTGTTATTGCACACCTCTAGGCAATGTAGTCTTTACATTCAAGAGGACAATAAAGAAAAGTGAGCACATAAAAAGCCACCACCAAGTTGTGTCTGTTAGAGAGAATTTTTAGGAAACCTTTTTTTTAAACTTTTATTTCATGTTGTAATTTGCATCTAATTAGCTGTTTGATTTCTAGATGTTCTAAACCGCCGGAGAGAATTGTTAATACACCCTTTCAAGCTTTCTAGAGTATTTGATTTTGTAATTTGCTGCTTGCTAGCTTGTTTGATTTCTAGAGATTTTATCCGAGTTGCTTACCATGCACACCTTTTTCGTATCCTCTTTTGTCATTGGTGCATTTGTTCATATATGTATCGGACTAATTGTTGAATATTGCCGGGTTAAGGCTCGAAAACTCTTCCGGTTGTTTGGAGGTTCAAGTCTTAGCTCTGTTTGCTTTATATGTGGACTGCTAGGGATAGCTAGCTGTGCCTGAAAATACAGGTAAATTTCAAGAGGGCAGATTTCTTTTGTCCGATTTCTTCATTAAAATCAATCTACCAAACACAGCAAAAAACAGATCTTTCTATAGTCTCTCTTTGGCTCTTCTCCTTGTTGTCTCCTAAACTCTTAGCTTTCTTTTATAGCTTCTTGTCATTTTCGAACCGCATTGTGCAAGGCACTAACTAATATCATTTATGTGAAGTTTTCTTGAAAGGGTGAAAGTTTTCACAGAGAAAATGAGAGCTCCTGGTTTGGCTGGTCTGATTTAGAAGACTAATGGCAGAAGATGCATACCTCCCTTGAACTTGAGCAGAGGATGTCCTGTTTCAAAATTCAAGCCTATCTAATTCAGATTTGCTCCCAAAATTTTTTTGGCTAAAAATAGATTTTTCAGATTATGTGAATATTAGATAATAAACTTATTCAAAATCTTTCTTCCAAAAGGCAAATGTTTTGATTTATTTTCAAATATAACTACCATATATATATATATATACGTACAAGCAATTCCTAGGTTTTTCTCTTCCTCACATGGATTTAGCTCGTTTTGCAATTTCTCTCAAAGTGCCTCTGAAATAAATAAATAGCAGGATGTTAAATTACGAACATGTTGATTTACATATGTAATTGATTCATAAAGTCCCTCTAGTTTTAATAACTAGTTAATTAGTCTCTATATTTTTAAATCTATTTGTAACTTAATCTCTTTCATTATTTTTTAATTTATATATTTTTTGGTTTAATAAATAGAAAAAGAAAAAGAAAAGTAAAAAAACAAGAAAAGATATGAAGAGAATAAAAGATATTTTTTTCAGAGTGAAATAATATTAAATTAATCATAATCAATATTGGTTAAGGAATTAAGTAATTAGTTTTTGAAACAAGAGGGACTAATATATAATTTACTCTCTTTTGTAAGGTTCATGAGCTATGTCGCTGAGGTTGCTAGTTGAAACATGTGCTGGTTGAAGTGCACACGAGATGGGACTTAATTGATTAATCTCGCCATACTTACAATGTTAAAAGACTATGGATTACTTTAAACAAGATTAGGCCAATTTCGTGTGGACAAAGCTAAAAATATACATCATCAAGGAACAAGACCATCATTTTCACTAAATAAATCATTGAATTCAAATTAAATGATAATAATTTAGTATTGTTTTATTTCTCTCACCGAATTCTAATAACCAAATTCAAAATTAATTGTGAGATTTGAAACATAATGAGAACATGAAAAGATCTAAATCTATCATGATCATTAAATTCAACAGCCATAACCTAAAGATTGTGTATCCAATAACTTCTTTTAATAAAATAGATTCAAATTTATTTTGTTATTATGTAATGAAAAAGGACTATTACTATTATCTAGCTCAAAACCCATGGGCTTTCTATTAAAAAAAAACATTAATATAGTTTTTTTCTAAAAAAAAAACATCAATGTAGTTAGCCAATGGGTATTGAAAGTTCAATCACAATATAATTACTTCCTTGAGTTTTGTGACTGTTTATATATATATACATATATATATATATATATATGAGCAATGGAATGTTAATTTTTTTTTGTCGTCAAATTTTCTAATTACAGCTCTTAATTGTTATTCTTAACTGCTAAGCAATTTGAGCTATAAACAAGGGTGATGAGAAATTAATTTGTTACTCTTAATTACATAGGTATTAATTGGTACGATTATTATTGTTATTATTGTTTTTTATTATTATTATTTTTTTTTTGGGTTACAAAGGAGAGGAAATTAAGAGGATAGAGTTAATCCAAATTTAAATCAATCCTATTTTAGTAAAACTTTTCAACGCATATTAGGGGTTTTTGTTTTTAGGGCTCTCTCTCTCTCTCTATATATATATCTATATATATAGAAGGAGCTGCGGCTAGACTATCTTGCAGGTTTTGGCTCTTCAAATAATGGCTGCAAGACTTTGATTTCATAGCATAAGGCAATAACATGATGTCCCTTGAAACCTTGGTGCTTGTAAATTCTGTCAAATTATGGAACAGAAGGCTTCGAGAAGAAGAGATGGAAAAGCCAACTACCTCCACAACTTCAACCCTAAATGACCCACCAGAAGATATCCTCCTCCACATCTTCTCTTTCCTTCCTACCTGTAAAGCCTTCGAATTCTCCTCAGTATCCCACAAATGGCGTAAACTTTGTTCAGAAGTCGCTTCTCTCAACTTCCCTGAAAAATTCCCACGCAAATTCATCCACAACTGCCTCCACAATAGCCCTAGCTCCTTTCTCCCGTCTCCACAGATTCTACCTCGAAGGAACTTATGAACATAGTTATATGAGATCATGGATTCGTTTATTCCATTCAACGCCATGTACAAGAAGTCGAGCTCGATAAGAGTAAGAAGTTCTCTTTCTTTCTTCTTAGAAATGGCTGTGTCAAAATTTTGAGGCTTAGAAACTCTGATATCGTAAAGGAGAGTACCATTAACATTTCCCCTACTTGGCTAAAGTCCCTCAAGTCAGTGTTCCTTGAAAATGTTTCCTTGAGTGATACGATACTGTTTGAAGTGATTTCTGGTTCGGTGAACCTGGAAAATTTTCCTCTTGAAAGCTGTCGGGGAATCAAGGATGTGAATCTTACTTCTTTAAAGAGTAAGGAGCTGAAGCTTAGTTTCTTCGATTGCAACAACGAATCCCTTGAGATTGCCTGTCCAAATCTTGGGTCATTAAAGATGGCTGTTGCTTTTAAAATCTGTCGTATCATTATGGGCAGTAGCTTGGGGCTCAAGTCTTTGTTTCTTGAAAATAGCTTGGTGGAGAACAGCATGGTGTATGATTTGATTTCTTGGTGTGCGAATTTGGAAACGATATCTCTTAAAAGCTGTTGGGGTATGAAGGATTTAAAGATTCGTTCTTCAAGTCTCAAGGAGCTAATTAAAGCTTAGTTTCTTCACTTGCAGTTATGGATCACTTGAGATTACTTGTCCAAATCTTAGGTTACTAGAGATGATTCAATACAAGGTTGGTTTGTATGATTTCAAGGACTTGTCTGGTTTGGTTGAAGCAAATATCTCCTTCTCCCGTAAAGCACAATATTATAAAGAGTGGAGTAAGATCATTAGGTCGCTATCTCATGTGAAGCGTCTTACGGTCCCGAGTTGGGGGCTTAAGGTAATCTTTCTTTAATCTTTCTGCACTGATCATGTTCTCCGTTTACATTCGCCGCCGTACATGTAGTAGGTGATGACTGCACCTAGGCCATGTTATGGGTCTGTATTGCATTTGAATGTTAGATGGCATCTATTCAAGAGAGAAAATTATGCTAATTATCTAGAAATTAGGCTTCTGAAACAGACAACCTTTGCTAGACTGCTAAATTAAATTAACTCTTAGTTTGGGCTTGAGAATTCCATTGCAAAAGGAATTTGTTCTACTTACTGTCAGAAATTAGGTTAACATGGAGGGAAGCGGTGTCAAATGGTTTAAAATCTCTCAGTATTGAGGCAGATTTCGTATATGATCACGCAGAATGGCACAAAACTATCCATATAGCCGACCCTAACTAGTTTATATAGGATTGAGACTTGGTTGTCTTCTTTCCATTGTCAGAAAATAAATATAACTCTAGCTAGGTCTTATCTTGTATGGATTTGGAAACAATTATGCTTCTGTGAAAGATTGCTTCTCGGCTGATCTAGGGTAGCACTATAAAAATAAGAGAAGGAAAACTAATTAGTTTGCAGAGGATCGGATGTCTTGTTTCTGCACATGCAAATTGCAATAGCTGGAACTTTGATCCTGACACCAGTATAGATTAAGTCTGCATGCCATTGTTACTAGACCTTCTGCAGGTGTTATAGATATATCTAGAACATTACCGAGTTAATCTCAAGAGAATCGATACAAATTAGTCCTTTCTATATGTCCTAATATAAATGGTGTTGGTTTGGGTCTGAAACTGCTGATATAAGGATAAATTGCTCAATCTATCCTTATTAAGTTGAAAATAAATAGTTCAGCTGAAAAACATTTTGAAACCTTATTAGATATATGGTCACCACCAGAGCCATAATCACAACTACAGGGATAATAAAGTTAACATTGCAAGAGAATACAAAAGTGTTACAAATGTAGGAACGGTTGGTAATTTGAATCAATGCCAATGCTAGGAAACCTAAGACAGAAACAAAAACAAAAAAGCTTGTTGATGACTTCTACTCCTCCAACTCCTGTAACAAATCCAGGAGCACCAGGCTTCTTGTGGATTGTACAAAGCACAAAGAACACATTATAAGGAAGCTTCAAACGCATTTTGTGATCCATTATCATCATGATCAGAATCAAGAGACATTACAGTGGCAACAGTAACTAGGTAATCTGAATGTGTTGGGTTTTTTCTATGTAAGGGTAATGAGGAATTCCCATTATAAAAAGAAAAACAAGGCGTATAATTCTAGGAAGCTTTGCTTCTGCTTATTTTCTCCTTGCGGACATGTCTTTGTCTACCTGGAATACAACGAAAGAAGAAAGTGTTCGTCAGTACTCAATATTGTCTAATGTCTCAGGCCTGCAACATATATTGTGGGGCAACAAAAAATTTATTATATCCTGCCAATCCGTTTGATCTTGATAAGTAAGAGAAAAAAATGACATCATCTTAAACCATATACTGTATCTAAGTTACAATATAAACCTATATCGTTTTTGTTTTTTTATAATAATCTCAATTCTTAAAAACCAGGATTTTGATGGATTGCTTATCTATATTATTTGTGGAATTAATATCCGCTGCTAACTAGTTCATTACCATTGATTCAAGCCTCTTTACAATATTTCTATAGTTCTGCTATACTCTCTTACATCCTGTCCAATAGGTTGAAAAACCTTAGCCAATGTCATCGTCACAACCACAGCCATTAAAAAAAAAAAAAAAAAAAAAAAAAGGAGGAGGGCTCACCTTCATCGCAGCTATATATAATCATTGGAGCCAGTCCCTTGTTTCGTCCAAGAAAGGAAAGCTGAACGTCTGCAAGAAGACTTGAACAACAAAGCACCTGAAACTCCACAAAAGCACGCACTGAATCCGGTTCCCATACCTATGTAAAACCACTTCCGGAAGTCATCAACATTTTCTTCATTTGTTTGGGGATCTTGAGGTCTGACATCTCCAGGACATGTCGGTGTGACTGGTGGCCCGCACAATGCAAGATTTCCAGCAAAAGCTGAAGCATCAAAGCTTTGAAGCTGAGTGCTTGTTGGAACTCTTCCGGACAACTCATTATAGGAGAGATTCAAGTGACTCAAAAAATTCAGATCAGCCATGGTCTGAGGAATAACACCTGATAACTGATTAGTTGACAAATCGAGCGATTCCAGTTGTTTCAGTTGACCAATCTTTTGAGGGATAACTCCAGCCAAATAGTTTCTCGATAAATTCAACGCCATTACCTGTAAAAGATCTCCAATTTCTTCTGGAATTTCTCCTGTTAATTTGTTTCCGGCAAAATCAATAAGCCTTAATAGTCCAAGATTTCTTCCGTACTCGAACTGTCTTCCTTTCCATTCAACGTAGGCCTTGTAGATATAGTACTTTAACGCATATAATATGTATCTACTTGGGGCTAAATATCTACAGCCAATGATTTTATCTGATTTCTCAACCATGGCAGTTAAATTATTGAGGCAGTTTGGTATAGGTCCAGATATGTTATTTAGAGAGAGGTCCAAGATCTGAATATTTTTGAGCTGACAAAGATGAAATGGCATGCTTCCAGAGAATTCATTGGATTGTAGAGAAAGGAATACCAAAGAGGATAGAATTTCTCCTATCCAAACTGGTATTTCTCTGGATAATCTATTCTGACTCAATTCTAGAAACTCCAACTTGCTACAATTCTTCAAGGAAGATAATTCTCCGAAAAGGCTATTGTTTCGTAAACTCAATGTTTGAAGCGATGATAATGATCCCATTGAGCTGGGAATTTCACCTGACAAATTGTTGTTGCCCAAGTTCAGAATTGCCAGTCGTTGGAAGTGCATGAAACAATCAGGTAGCCTCCCAGATAATAGGTTATTTGAAAGGTCAAGGAAACTCAAAAGGCCACCCACAATCTTACATACAGAAGAAATGGACCCTGAGAACAAATTATTAGATAGATCTAATAATTCTGTATTAGAAGGAAAAAGAGGCAATGGACCCTCAAAATTGTTTGAACTCAAATCAAACCCGACCGATAATGGAGTGTGTTTGAATGACAAATTATTTGGCAGCTTTCCATTCATCTGATTATGAGACAGGTTTAAGAAAATCAAATTGGAAGATACATTCCCAAACCAATCAGGGAAGGTATCCGCAATGCTAGCACTAGAGATGTCAATCTCGATGACTTCAGTTTGAGTCTGAAGCCATTTAGGGAAATGAGGCCCCAAGTTGCAGGACCTGAGATGTAAGCTTTCCAATTGGAAAGGAGGAAACCAGTCACTTTCGAATTCTAAAGCCAGAGAGTTGTCAGACAAATCCAAATACCTTAACTGAGAGAGATTTGAAAAATGAGCTTCGTTCATCACACCTTGCAAAGAATTGCCAGATAAAACCAGATATTGAAGGTTAGATAAGCTTCCAATACTTTCAGAAACAGTTCCATCTAATTGATTGTCATCAATCCAGAATTCTTTTAAAGGTTGAAACATTATGAAATCAGGTAATGAGCCACTCAATTGGTTGTGAGAGAGGTACAACTCTGTCATGGAAGTGAATCTTGTAATATCAGACAAGGAACCACTAATGTGATTGTCGCTTAAACTCAAAATCTCTAGTGAGTTCTCTGTGCATCCAGATAAGTTTTGAATAGATTCGGAAAGTGGTCCAGTGAGATTGTTGAAATCTAGGTCTAGTGTATGGAGAAGGCAACTCCCGAAAAAACTTGGAATGCTTTGAAAATTATTGAAGGAAAGATCAAGAGTCTTAAGAAAAATCATGTTTTTAAATGCATCTGGAGTTGATCCTTTTAACTGGTTCATAGCAAGGTCTATATGGACAAGGCTGTTATTGAAATTATGGAACCAAGGATTTATGGAAGTAGTGAGAAAGTTATATGAAAGATCAAGGACAGCCAGGAATGTAGAACAATTGGTAAATGAATGAGGCTGAGGAATTGGGACCGAAAGACTACACAATCTTAAGCGCAAAGTTTTTAGCTGAGGGAGATTGTTTACCCCTTGCAGCCAGTCAGTAGCTTTGCTAAGATCATTCAAACTAAGGTCCAGGTGTTCCAGAGAAGAAAGATGGGACAACCAACTGAGTTTTTCAAAATGAATATAACCATTATAGCTAAGATCAAGAGTGTGCAATTTTGAGAGGTTCCCAAGCTGATACGTAAGAGTTCCATAAAATTTATTGTGGGAAAGATTCAGGTATCTTAATTCATTCAGGGATCCAATGAAATTTGGGAGACTCACTCTGAAATTATTATTACCAAGATCCAAGTAATTTAGATGTCGCAACTCAAGTAATGAATTGCTGATGTTACCTCTCAGATACAAGCGATCACTATATTGAGCTTGAAGATCGAGAACAGTGACATGGCCAGTCCTGTTGCTGCAACCAACTCCTCTCCAGAGGCAACAATCGCTAGTGCTCCAAGAAGAAAGAACACCATCCTTATCTATAGCTGTTTGTTTGAAATTGAGCAGTGCTTGTCTCTCCCTCTCTATGCACTTGATTTTCACCCCTCCAACCCCTGTAACGAATCCTGGAGCACCACCAGGCTTCTTGTGGAATATAAGAAGCACAAAGAACACATTATAAAGAAGCTTCAAACACATTTGGTGGTCCATTATCAGAATCAAGAGAAATAGAAAAGTGGCAACTGTTACTAGCTAGGTAATCTGAATATGTTCTATGTGAGGTATTGAGGAATTCCCATTATAAAAAGAAAAACTAGGCGTGTAATTCTAGGTGGCTGCCTATGGCCTGATCAAGCTTTGTTTCTGCTTGTTTTTTCCTTGTGGGCATGTCTTTGTCTAATTATGTCCAAGGCCTGCAACATATTATCTAGGGCAACAGAAAATTTTGCTCTCTCTATGTATTTCTTTTTTATTTTCCATCATTATTACTAATATTATTATTGTTATTATTATTATTTTGGACATTCATAGCTAGCGTGGAACAAATTTTTTTTGATGTCATGTTGTTATATATGGTACATAATAGTTTTAAATAACAATCGTTACGTTATATAACGGTTTCGGAACATTCTATTATCGTTATTTTAGTATTATAATAAGCCGTGATTCGCAATAGTGATCGTGATCATTTTTCAACCGTCCGTAATTTAAAATTATTTTATTGTCATATACGTGATTCGTCAAAATAATAGTGAGCACAAAATAAAAGAGAAAACATGAATTTTTTGGACAAATATTTGAAAAAATTATTTATGTTACTCGAAGTAATTACTACAAGTTTAATTCCACAATAAAAAAACCGAGTCTATTGAGTAGCTTTTTTTTTTTTTTTTAATTCATTGACTCTGATATCCACGGCTTTCAATTTTTATGCCAAGTTATTTCTTTTTCTTTTTTTATTTGTGATTTCTACTATGTTTTTGTTTTGAAATTGGTTAAGTTTTCTCCTCGGCAAAACTCTTGTTCACCTTCCATGCGTGCCTTCTGCAGAGCAGGAGCTGGCCGAGCAGCGCCTAAGGTTTTGATGCATTGTTTCTTTCAATGAATAATATACAAAATTGTTTGTTGCCTCATAATATATATTGCAGGCCTGAGACATTAAACAACATTGATTACTGACAAACACTTCTTCTTCTTTCGTTGTATTCCAGTTAGACAAAGACATATCCACAAGAAGCTTTCTAGAAACAAAGCTTCATCAGGCCATAGACAGCTTCCTAGAATTATACGCCTTGTTTTTCTTTTTATAATGGGAATTCCTCAATACCCTTACATAGAAAAAACCCAATATATTCAGATGACCTAGTTACTGTTGCCACTGCATGCTATTTATCTCCATTCTGATCGTGATGATAATGGACCACAAATTGAGTTTGAAGCTTCTTTATGATGTGTTCTTTGTGCTTCTTATATTCCACAAGAAGCCTGGTGGAGCTCCTGGATTTGTTGCAGGAGTTGGAGGGGTAAAAGTCAAGTGCATAGAGAGGGAGAGACAAGCACTGCTCAAATTCAAACAAGAAGTTATAGATGACTTTGATGTTCTTTCTTCTTGGAGCACTAGCGATTGTTGCCTCTGGAGAGGAGTTGGTTGCAGCAACAGGACTGGCCATGTCACTGTTCTCGATCTTCAAGCTCAACATGGTGATCGCTTGCATCTGGGAGGTAACATCAGCAATTCATTACTTGAGTTGCGACATTTGAATTACTTGGATCTTGGTAATAATAATTTCAGAGTGAGTCTCCCAAATTTCATTGGATCCCTGAATGAATTAAGATACCTGAATCTTTCCCACAATAATTTTTTTGGAACTCTTACATATCAGCTTGGAAACCTCTCAAAATTACACACTCTTGATCTTAGCTCTAACCTTCATGTTTATTTTGAAAGCCTCAATTGGTTACCCCATCTTTCTTCTTTGGAACACCTGGACCTTAGTTTCAATGATCTTGTCAAAGCTACTGACTGGCTACAAGGGGTTAACAATCTCCCTCAGCTAAAAACTTTGAGCTTAAGCTGGTGCAGTCTTTCAGTCCCAATTCCTCAGCCTCATTCATTCACCAATTGTTCTACATTTCTAGCGGTCCTTGATCTTTCCAATAACAATCTTACTACAACAATATATCCTTGGTTCCATAATTTCAATAATAGCCTTGTTCATCTAGACCTTTCTTCAAACCTGTTAGAAGGATCAACTCCAGATGCATTCAGAAACATGATTTTTCTCAAGAGCCTTGATCTTTCCACCAACGTTTTACAAAGCATTCCAAGTTTTTTGGGGAATATGTGCCTTCTTCATACACTAGACCTACATACCAACAATCTCACTGGAGCACTTTCCAAGTCTATTCAAAATTTGTATGGGTGCACAGAGAACTCACTGGAGATTTTGAGCTTAAGCAACAATCACCTCAGTGGTTCGTTGCCTGATATTACAAGATTCTCTTCCATGACAGAGTTGGACTTCTCTCGCAACAAATTGAATGGCTCTTTCCCGAAAAGTCTCAGACACCATTCGAAACTTGTTTCCTTGAGTTTGCAAAGGAACAAATTGACAGGGTCATTGCCTGATTTCACAATGTTTCCAGCTTTAAAGGAATTCCGTGTTGATCACAATCTATTAGAGGGCAATATTTCTGAAACTATTGGAAGCTTATCTAATCTTCAATATCTTGGTCTATCTCACAATTCTTTGGAAGGTGTGATGGACGAAGCTCTTTTTTCAAATCTCACGAAGTTAAGGCATTTGGATTTATCTGACAACTCTCTGGCTTTGGAATTCCGAAGTGACTGGTTTCCCCCTTTCAATTGGAAATCTTACGTCTCAGTTCCTGCAACTTGGGGCCTCATTTCCCTAAATGGCTTCAGACTCAAACTGTAGTCCGAGAGATTGACATCTCTAGGGCTAGCATTGCAGATACCGTCCCTGATCGGTTTTGGAATGCGTCTTCCAATTTGATTTTCTTAAACCTTTCTCGCAATCAGATGAGTGGAAAGCTGCCAAATAATTTGTCATCCAGACACGCTCCATCATTGTTGGGGTTTGATTTGAGTTCTAACAAGTTTGAGGGTCCATTGCCGCATTTTCCTTCTAATACCAAATTATTAGATCTATCTAATAATATGTTTTCAGGATCCACTTCTTCTATATGTAAGATTGTGGGTGGCCTTTTGAGCTTCCTCGACATTTCAAATAACCTGTTATCTGGGAGGCTGCCTGATTGTTTCATGCACTTCCAACAACTGGTAGTTCTGAACTTGGGCAACAACAATTTGTCAGGTGAAATTCCCAGCTCAATAGGATCATTATCATGGCTTCGAACACTGAGTTTACGGAACAATAGCCTTTACAGTGGATTACCTTCCTTGAAGAATTGTAGCCAATTGGACTTTCTAGATTTGAGTGAGAACAGTCTATCAAGAGAGATACCAGCTTGGATAGGAGAAAGTCTAACATCTTTGGTATTCCTTTCCCTACAATCCAATGAATTCTCTGGAAGCATACCATTTCATCTATGTCAGCTGAAGAATATTCAGATCTTGGACCTCTCTCTAAATAACATATCCGGACCTATACCAAGCTGCCTCAATAATTTAACTGCCATGGTTGAGAAGTCAGATAAAATCGTTAGACTTAATTTTGAGGTCCCACTTACGTACAGATTATATGGGAACAAATACTATGTCAACAAAGCCTTTGTTCAATGGAAGGGAAGATGGTGCGAATACGAAAGAAATCTTGGACTGTTAAGGCTTGTTGATTTTGCGGGAAACAAATTAAGAGGAGAAATTCCAGAAGAAATTGGAGATCTTTTACTGGTAATGGCGTTGAATTTATCAAGAAACTATCTGACTGGAGTAATCCCTGAAAAGTTTGGTCAACTGAAACAACTGGAATCGCTTGATTTGTCAGCTAATCAGTTATCAGCTGGAATTCCTAAGACCATGGCCGATCTGAGTTTTTTGAATCACTTGAATCTCTCCTATAATAACTTGTCTGGAAAAATTCCAACAAGCACTCAGCTTCAAAGCTTTGACGCTTCAGATTTTGCTGGAAATCCTGCCTTGTGCGGGCCACCGTTCACACAGACATGCCATGGAGATGTTAGACTTCAAGATCAACAAACAAATGATGGCATCCCAGTGAATGAAGAAAATGTTGACGACTTCAGGAAATGGTTGTACATTGGCATGGCAACCGGGTTCAGTGCATGCTTTTGGGGAGTTTCAGGTGCTTTGTTGCTCAAGCCTTGAGACATTTTATGTACTAGTGTCTTTATTTTTCAATTTTCATGAAGATTTGTGTAACAATAGCATGTTCATATCTTGTGATAGGAAATAAGAAATTATTCCATCTGGACCTCAGCACTGTCGTTCAAAACCACCTCTGATGCCCTCAAATCGTCAGCTTCTATTGCTGTATAAAAGATGAGAAAATCAATTTTCTGTAAATATAATCAAGAATTAATGTATATATGCAAGAAACTTCGTATAAAAATATGCCATTTAATTTAATTCCGATAAGTACCTTGCTCTTTCTCTGCACAGCTTCCTGACGATTTCCATTGTTCAACAATTACAGAAATTTGTATTGTAATGAGCAAAAACAAAAAATTGAAGAGGACCAAAGCTCGCTCTTCAAAAAAACAAAAATTCAAGGCAAATCTCTCGACATATCTTCAAATATAACGATCATACCAGCAAGTCCTTGAGATGCTTTATCGCTTGATCGCGTTGATTTAGCTCATCTTGCAATTTCTCGCAAAGTGTCTGTAAAATACTTAAAAGGTAGTTAAAATTGTATGAACGTTGATCTTTTTCATAAAATCTGACCATCTGACAAAAATAGAAACACTAGCAAGATTATGAACAAAAAATGGTTGAAGTATTTACGTACCCTCCGCCATCCGCAATCGCAGGAGGTTGATGCATTTGCCGACATGATTTGCTTTTAAGAAAAGTGATTTATTTTTCAAGGAAGGATACGAGTGCAGTGAAGAATGTGTGAATATGAGGACCATATATATATATATATGATAAGGAGAGATCATGGATGAGGGATTCAACTGAAATGTTAAGTTTATAATGACCAGATTGTAAAAACATGTAAAAATGATTGGGGAAATGTATCTTGTATTATTCGATTTTGACAACATTAGCAACTGATGAAGCTGTAAAACTGTTGTATGCTCTAAGTTCTTGGTACTTGGTGAAAAGGACGAGGCATATGATCATCGGTCTGTGAAATGCCATGAACAACAATCACGATCTCTGGTTTTGCTTTTGAAGGATAACCAAAAACCGAATTCTGCATCCTTTTTTATTTTCCATTTGCTGTCTAAAAAATGGCTGCTAAGTTGGGTTTATAAATATGCAGGATTTTCATAATCTTTGCAATGTAGTCCTAAAGATTACATTATTAAGAATTTCATCTTCTCATAGATTATCCACATAAGATAGTATATTTTCTCCGTTAATTTCTACTATTTTATTTATTTTTTAATTGCTACAGTGATAGGTCATTCCGGAGACGTCAATATTTTATATTCTCATGTGCCCGTTATTACTTGAAAAAAAAAATAGACACTAAAATTATATTTTCCTTTCTTGGGAACTATTCCACACTATGTATCCGGAACTAGGAATGGCAAAATGATCCGATCCGAGGTCGCCCCGCCCTGCCCCACAATTTTTTTGGACGGGGATGGGATTTGCCCACTCCATCCCGTTTTGCCCCGTTAATAATAACTTATAGTAGAGTTCGTGTGATTTGATCTCTTACTTGGAAAACAAAATTATGCAAATTGTGTGTGCTCATTATAAAATCTGTCAAAACGGGATAAAATGAGATGGGACGGGACGGACACAAACAGTAAAATGGGACCCCATTTACCCTACGGGGATCCCCATCCCCGTTCGGATGGGAATGGGATGACAAATTCCGTCCCGTTCGAAGCGGGGATAGAGAATTTTTTAAGAGGGTGGAGGCGAGGATGGGGATGGTGATTCCCGTCCCGCCCTATTGCCATCCCTATCCAGAAATCTTCTAATCGTTAAGATGATAGGTTACAAGTAAAATGCAAATCAACACTTAGGTCAAATTGTCAATAAATTGTAAGAGGTAGGAGTCAAATATGAGTCTCACTAGTAAAAAATGCAATTAACTCTACACTTTATAAAAACACCAAATGTAGAAAAACCAAAATACTTCCATATAGCAGTAATTTTGTACGTAAAGTTTTAAGATATGATATGGTTTATATTAATTTTTTAACATATGTTAAATAATAATCTCAACTTAAAAATTTAGACTATTAATTAAAATTTTAAAATATAATTTATATTAGTTTATAGCATCTATCAAATAATAATATAAATTTAAAAATTTAAACTATTAATTGAAGTCTTAAAATATGATTTATATTAGTTTTTAACATTTTATAATAAACGTAGGTCTAGAGTTTGCCGAACTACTAAGAAAAATTAATGTCTTTTTTTTTTTTTTTTTGTGCTCGCAATTATTTTAGCCACGACTTCCGTTGCACAATAGATCACTTCTGTATCATTTATTAGTCAACTAATCTAAATCTTAATCATATTTATATCATTATAAACAAAAGGAAAAATTCTTAGCTTCTAAATCATATTTACTACTCAAAAAGAACATAGAGACCCTCCGTACTCCATCCAAAGAGGAGAATTTTATTAGAAATGAGATATTTGAATAAAAAATAAATTCAAAGAAAACATTATTTTTACTAGCAAATTGTTGAACAGAGAGTGAAGATTTCTTAATATGCAGTCAATGGAGAATGTTAGACATTTTAAGCAGGCATCTTGGTGTGTGAAAAATTGTTGAAGCAAGTTGAGGTTAATATAAAGAAATAATGTGATAGATATATCTATACAACACTGAGCTAGCTAATCTAAGATTGTCGATAAGAAGATCCTCTTTGTATGTCCTGAATGGTTCTGGTTTGGATTTGGAACTGCAAATGACAGAGTCTTGAATTACTACTGATTTTGTTTACGTTAAATCTGTATTTATAGAACGGACAGGGGACTAATGGCAAAAGATGCAAACTTCTTGAACATCAGCAGAGGATGCCCTGTTTCTGCACATCCAACAGCTTATGGACCAATTACTAGATCTTTAGCATGTTTTCTGGGAAGCTCATGGACCAAGCAGGATTAACATCATCGAAGTGAACATGACAAACATTAGTTGAAATTTCAGATCTAAAACACAACAACAACCAGTCCTCAACCCCGAATTAGTCTGGATCAGCCATATAGATCCTTTAGCAACATTCCGCACAATCATATTCCAAACTCCAGTTCTGAATACGACGACGACAACGATGACAACAAAAACAACCAATCCTCGATCACAAACTAGTCCGAATCGCCCATATGGATGCTTTTGAACCATTCCCACACAATCATATTCCGAACTCCAGTTCTAATTACAACAACAACGACAACCAATCCCCAACCCTGAACTAGTCCGGATTCAGATCGGCTATATGGATCCTTTTTCGCCATTCCACACAATCATATTCCAAACTCCAATTCTAAACTACAACAACAACCAGCCCTCAACCCCAAACTGATACGAATCGGCTATATGGATTGTTTTCTGCCATTCCACTCAATCATACTCCGAACTCCAAGTTCTAAAATACAACAACAAGAAGCAGCCCTCAACCCAAAAATAGTCCGAATTTGCTATATATGGATCCTTTTGCACCATTCAGCGCAATCATATTCCGAACTCCAGTTCTAAATACAACAACAACAAGCAATCCTCAACCCTAAACTAGTCCAGATTCGGATTGGCTATATGGATCCTTTTTCACCATTCCACGCAATCATATTCCAAGCTCCAATTCTAAGCTACAACAACAACCAGCCCTCAACCACGAACTAGTCCGGATTTGGATCGGCTATATGGATCCTTTTCTGCCATTCCACTCAATCATATTCCGAACTCCAAGTTCTAAAATACAACAACGACAACCAACCCTCAACCCCAAAATAGTCCGAATTGGCTGTATATGGATCCTTTTGCACCATTCAGCGCAATCATATTCCAGATTCCAGTTCAAAATACGACAACAACAACCAATCCTCAACCCTGAACTAGTCCACACTTGGATCAGTTATATGGATCCTTTTTTGCCATTTCATGCAATCATATTCCAAACTCTAATTCTAAACTACAACAACAACCAGCCCTCAACCCCAAACTAGTACAAATCGGCTATATGGATTCTTTTCTGCCATTCTACTCAATCATACTCCGAACTCCAAGTTCTCAAACACAACAACAACCAGCCCTCAACCCCGAAATAGTCCGAATTCGCTACATATGGATCCTTGTGCACCATTCAGCGCAATCATATGCCGAACTCCAGTTCTAAATACAACAACAACAACAACCAATCCTCAACCCTGAACTAGTCCAGATTCAGATCGGCTATATGGATCCTTTTTTGCCATCCCATGCAATCCTATTTGAACTCCAGTCCTAAAATACTACGACGACAACAACGAACCCTCAACCCCGAGCTAGTCCGAATCTGATATATGGATCCTTTTGTGCAATTCAGCACAATCATATTCTGAACTCCAGTTCTAAATGCAATCTATAAACTCTTTGAACAAGTAAACAAAACCCATTAACTTTGAAAAAAAAAAACAAAAGAAAAAAAGCAACATTAATATATCAATTTCATTCAATATAGCAAAAATTTTACAATTCCCATTTTAACATGTAAATAGATACCCATAAAGCTGGAACGAAAGAAAAACCCTCTAATATAGATTAGATTAGTCACATCCCAAAAAAATGAAAACCCTAACCTCGTCTCATTCCTTCCTTACTTCAAAAATCATATCTGTCAATCAAACTAGAGGTATTACATTGGACCCTGCAGAAGACCCACCAATAAACGAGAACAAACCAGTGGACCCCGCGATTTCTTGATCATCCATAAACAAATCCTCGGGATCTCTAAATGCACCATGCACACACACAATCCCTACCCCAACCAAAACCGCCGTTATAATCAACGATCCCACGCTCGTCAAGAACACTACGATAACCGTGACCAGACACAAAATCCCCAGGGTCTCTCTATTCGAGATCGTGCGGCCGAGAACCACTAGGGGCTGATCTGAAGGTCGGAAAGCGTAGAGACCGAGCCAGGCGGCGACGAGGGAGAGGAGGGTGAGGAGGGAGAAGGGATGTGAGAGGAGGGAGAAAGCGAGTACGATTGCGAGTATGGTGAGGTAGTTTATTTTGAAGTAGGAGAAGTTTTTGCGTACTCGCGTGGTGGCGTCGGAAAGGGAGAGCGGGCGGGAGAAGGAGGTACGGTCTACGAGTTCGAGCCAGGGACGGCGGTGGGAGAGGGTGGCGCGGAGGGAAGAGAAGAGTCGCGTGAGGAAAGTGCGAAGGGAGGCGAGGGTTGTCGTGGTGGTGGTGGTCGTCGTGGAGGAGGTGGTTTCGCTGGTGGAGATTGGGAGAGGCTGGGAGGTCATTTTGGGGATTTCGAGAGATCTTATGAGGGTAAAATAGGGAGAAAAAATGTTGAATTGCTTTCGAAAGAGCTAATGGAGATCCCGTCTGAGAGGAAATGAAATAAATATGTATAAGAGGTGGAGGAATTATACTATATTTTTATTCCTGTATTGGAGTTTCCTCAACCGTTCGATTTCAAGATGGAAGGCTGTGATTGATTGAGGCTTGGTGAATGATGCGGCGGCTTAGAGGCGTATATATGCTTTGTGTGGTACATGCTAGTTGAACAGCATCATAAGAAAATGCAACGAGAAGCTGGCTGTATTTTTTAATTAGTTTTTTTTTTCTAAATAATTATTTAGTCCTTCTTGCTAAATTTTTGTCAAATTTGTCAAATTAACTAGTAAAACCTTAAATATCCTTTAACATACATAACTAATCCACACAAATATATTTTGGTGTTTGAAAAAAAAAGAAATAGAGCGAAGATTAATAAAATAAAAAATGAAAATTTGAAGAGAGAAATAAAGATAATTTTAGTGCTTGAGGAGAAAAAAAAGAAAAGAAAAAAGACATGCGTGAAATGGAAAAATATTGCATAAAAAAAAGTAATTTGAGAAAAAAAATACTGAAAGATACATTATCACCACTCTAACAAAAAATTGACGAAAAGACTAAATTATTGACAAAATTAAAATATAAACATTAAATATCTAATTTTTGAAATGAAGAAAATTAATCAAATCATTTATCGAAACGAAAATGACTAATTTATAATTTACTTATATATAAGATAAATAGCAATTTTTTTTATATAATAATCTAAATTGTTTTTCTGTGTTTCTAATTGTATAATTGTGTTCTTAAATAATATTTAAATCTTTAATCTATTCTTTCGATTAATTTTTATAACGTGTCTCTATGTTTTTAATTGCATATATTATGTTCTTAAATAATATTTAAAACCTTCAATCTAATCTTTCAATCTATTTTTCAAATCATAAATAATTTTTTTTTATAAAAATACTTTGATTGAAATACAAAAATTTTAAATGTTAAAAAATAAAACATATATGGCGTGTGACTTTAAATATATATATATATTAGATAGCATGAGAGTGAGGAATTGGAGAGTTGATTTTGTATTAACTATAATAGGATAAAATTAAATCCACCAGGGTGAGTGCAAATAAAATTAGGATAAATAATTTAATTTGTGATTATATAATAGTTTGATTGTACAATCTATCTATATCTTTCCAACTGCATCTAGGATGTTCCTATATAATGTTTAAATATCTAATATATTATTCCGATCAATTTTTTTAATTATAATTTTTTTTTTGAAATACCCATGACTAAAACTAAAATATATATATATAAAAATTAAAGACTTTAAAAAATAAAACACGCAAATAATGTGATTTTTTTATTTTTTGAAGTCATTAGAATTTCTTTTCAATAAAAATTATTTCGATAAAAAAAATTATTTATGATTAAAAAAATTGATCAGAATGATAAATTAAAAATTTAAATATTATTCAAAAATATAATAAATCCAATTAAAAATGCATAGACATATTGAAAATTTAAACTATTATATAAAAATAAATTGAGTTATTTATTCATAAAATTATTTGACTTTTAAAATTTTGTAGTTAAAATTTCTCATTAAACAGAATCGCTCGAATTGATGCTATCATGGATTTTTAATTTGCTGTTAGGCAGTTCCCAAATGAATGATTCCTGGTTTAAGACTTTGGGCCCGTTTGGCCTCCAGGTTTTGTAGAAGGGCATTCTTTTGTTTTTCGACAATTTAAAAGGGCCTTTGGTTCCTAAAACTTGGCATTGCCAAACAGGTTTGACAATAAAGGAAATCACAAGTTGAACTTCTATATGATGACTCGATAGCTCTTTACGCAGGTCCACGGGCCTGGTTTTAAAGTGAAAGAAAAATACAGCCCAGCCCTTTTATTATGAACAAAATTATTTGATAATTAATTTTGGCTTATTCAAAGCAAAACACAAATTTTACATTTTTTAATTATTTAAAATTTTTTTTAACGTTGGATAGAAAATATATAAACTATATTTTTATTAATCATATTACCATATATAAATTTTTCTTCGTTATCAACCAACGTGGAAGATTTTTTTTTTTTTTTAACTAAAAAAGTCATTGAATTGAGTAGTTTACAATTTCTAAAAAAGTCTTTTTTTGTGTTTGAAATTGTATTATTAACAACTTGCTGGAATTTTGACTGAAAAAAATTTATGTATGCTAATGTAGTTAATAAAATCTTTTTTGTGAATTTTCTATTTAATATTAAAAAACCGTACTAATATAATTAAAAAGTGTAAAGTGTATGTATTTTTTGTTCAATAAGCCATTAGTTTTTTTAATTTTTAACTTTGAGTTCGGCCTTTTTCTAACTAATTTTTATTTGAAATTAGGTCATTTAATTAGGTTTTCGATAATTTTAATAGTGTAAATACATGTGGATTGAAAGTGATTGATTTTTTAACTTATACACCAACTAAAAATATACTAAAACTAATTGATGTTTTGCTTCTTCTTTTTTCAAAACTTGTTTTTTCATTTAAAAATGTTATTTAATTGCTAATTTCTTAGCATTTTAGAAGAAAAAACAAAATATTTATAGATTTTAATATGTTTTTAGCTGCTAAAAAACTATAATTGTATATTAGAATTAACAAAAAATCTAATTTTAAATAAAAATAATTAAAAATAAATCATAATCGAAATTAAAAATTGAGAGATTAATTCCAAAATAATTTAAAATTCAAAAGAGAACGTATATAAGTTTTGAAATATTTTTAATTATTGAGAAATTATATTTATATATTAGAATTGATGAAAATTTAACACAAAGATTCAATTTTAAATAAAATAATTTAAAATTTATAATTTATAATTGAGAGATGGATTCTTAAATAATTTAAAATTTTAAAAAGAATTATACAGTTTAGTAGCAAAAAAAAAGACTCGATATTGAAAAAATAAAAAAAAATCCTTGTTGTTTCAAAAAGAAAAGGAGAATTCTTGGATCTACTCGTTTGTTGTCCCATATCTGCCCATTTAATTTTATTTATTATTCGTTCTGCTCAACCGTAACTGCTATATCAACCATCATTACTCATTGGCAACAGGCCAAAAGTCATCAATGTTTTGTCAAATCACTTAAAAATTATATTTTTTTCCCAATTTTTTCAAAAAAAAAAAAAGGTCAACGGCTATTGAACATTGGTGATGCTGCCACCACTCACCATATTATATTAGGGAAAAGAAAAAATCAAATGTTCCACCATTATTTGCCCATATTGTTCATTATTATAATGAAAAGCTCACAAGTTTTTTTTTCTTTTACAAATAAATAAATGAAAACAGCAATTCAAAAAGAAAAAAGAAAAAAGAAGAACCTTAATAAAGAACAAAAGTAAAAAAATAAATAAATAATTAGTCCAGATACCTTCTTTAGAGTATCATTCGTTTTTCAAAGAAAATTATAAATTAGTCCCTGTAATTTTGAAAACAAATTAATTAATTTTTTATTTTAAAAACTAATTATTTAGTCTCTTTACTAGTATTAATTATGTTTAATTTAACATCATTTTATTTTAAAAAATTCATTAATCTGTCCACAATATATATATATATTACTTTTTTAAAACAAAACAAATGAAATAAGTACGTAAAATGGAAAAAAAAATAGTTGTTGAAATAAATAGACAATTTATTTATTTTTTAAACTAAAAGGACTAATTTATAATTTAGTCGGTTTTCGAAGACCAATTGACCAGGCAATTTAAACCACTCCTTCTGGATCCATCGTTTAGGTCCATCGAACCTTCCTTTTAGTCCTTCCTCTGGTCCTGTCTCACAAGTAACGAGAAATGACACTGCCAAAAGAAAAAGAAAAAAGAAAAAACATTTAAATCAACGAAATCCCAAAAGAAGGTTTCATTACGGCAAAAATCACATCTCGCCCTTTGACTATCATATAAGTTTTGATTAGGTCCTCTATCTACTAAAAGTTTCAATTACATCACCAATATGTCATAACTGAAGCAATGCTAATATTTCATCCAGTTTCCATTAGTTCTTCCCTTTAGAATACATGTTCATATCATATCATGACAAGAGAAGAAATAAAAAGAAAAACCAAAATTTTGAAATAAATATGACTCTTTTAATCATGGTATATATAAAACAATCTCTAATAACTCTACTTCAATAAATTTATTTCTTGTAATTTATAAAGGAAATATTTAACTATTCAGTGTATTAAGATGGAAATAATAATCTATATTTCGATAAATAGCTGGCATTATATTTCGATAAATTCAAATGTTGGAACTGTTTCTAATTAATTTTACATTTTAGCTCTATAGTCTATCTTTAATAATCAGATTAAAGAAAAAAAAGTAATACTTTCTCATAACATATGATCTTTATGTGGACCAATATTTTAAGAATTATTATTATCAATTTCAATTGGATTTCAAAGATGAGTGATCTAATATAAACATATAGAGTAAAGTATAAATTAATTCTTCTAGTTTTGATAAAAGAATTAATTAGTCATTTTTATTTCAAAACTAATTATTTAATCTTTTTATTCATTTTATTCTCTTTTTTAATTTATTTTTTTATTTTTTAAAAATGATACTATGAAAAGATTGTAGAAAAAATTAAAATAAAATAATATTAAATTATGCACGATTAACATTAGTTAAAAAATTAAATGATTATTTTTTTAAAGGACTAATTAATTTAGTTTTTTAAATAGAAGGACTAATTTATGATTTACTCAAAATCCAAATGGAATTTTGCCGAAGACAAAAAAGCAAAAGTCCAAAAAGAAACCAACTTAATTACCAAATTGCCACTCACTAATATCTCTATTTATCTTTTATCCACGTCTGCCGTTCTGTCCCTCTCTTTCTTTCCTCTCCCACGTGCTTTCCCTCTCTCTCTCTCTCTCCTCCCTTTAAAAGTCCAAACCGCGTTTTCCAAGGATATGCCTGTCATTTCACTACACCACAACCTCTCTTTTCTCCCCTTCTTCTTCTGCTTCGCTCCCTCTCTCAGAACTTCACCATCAGTCCCTCCCTCCAAACCTCAAAAACGCAGCCGTTTCATGCTCTAACAAAACTGATACGGCCAAACACAGTCTTACAAAATGGCGGCAGAGAACGGAGAGGAGAAACTGATCGCTGTAGCACGCAACATAGCAAAAACACTCGGCCATAACGAGTCAATGGCGGATGATATTTTGCAAATCTTCTCCAACTTCGATGGTCGTTTTTCTCGCGAGAAATTGGCCGATAAACTGACATCGGCAGGACAAGGAGAAGATCCTAGAGTTCTTGACCATACTATTAAGTCTTTAGAGCGTCAGATCTCGCAGTACATCGCCGCCGACCACCCGATCTGGTCTGACTCAGCTGACTCCTCCGCCTTCCTTGATTGCATCGACGAGTTAATTTCTACTGTGCGTAAACTCTCTGCCTCCAGTTCCGCCGGAGCGCATCTGGCACGCGCTGAGGATCTTCTTCAGCAAGCTATGTTTCAGTTGGAAGAAGAGTTCCGTCTGTTAATTGAACGCGGCGGTGAGTCCTTTGAACTTACTAGACCTTACAATAACGGTGACGGTGACTTGGGGAAGAATAATAATAATTTACTGTATGATGATTCTGATGAGGATGATCATGACTACAGTGATGGTGAAATTCCGGTAGCGCAACCGTTAAGTAATTATGACGTCTTAATTGATGCATTGCCGTCGGGGATTATTAATGATTTGCATGAAATAGCGAAGAGGATGGTGGTTTCGGGGTTTGGTAAAGAGTGTTCACACGTGTATAGTAGTTGCCGTAGGGAGTTTTTGGAAGAAAGCTTGTCGAGATTAGGGTTAGGGAAATTGAGCAATGAAGAAGTGCAAAAGATGCGATGGCAAGAATTGGAGGATGAAATTGATAAATGGACCAAAGCTGCGAATGTTTCGCTTCGGATTTTGTTTCCAAGTGAGAGGAGGTTGTGTGATCGTGTGTTTTATGGGTTAGGTTCGGTGAATGACTTGTCGTTTATGGAGGTTTGTAGGGGAACTGTGGTTCAGATTTTGAATTTTGCTGATGCAGTTGCGATTGGGAGTAGGTCGCCCGAGAGGTTGTTTAAGGTTCTGGATTTGTTTGAGACAATGAGGGATTTAATGCCGGAGTTTGAGTTTAATTTTAGTGATCAGTATTGTTTGGTTCTAAGGAATGATGCGGTGGGGATATGGAAGAGGTTAGGGGAGGCGATCAGGGGGATTTTTATGGAGTTGGAGAATTTGATTAGGTGGGATCCAGCTAAAGCTCCGGTTCCTCGTGGAGGGCTTCATCCAATCACGCGATATGTGATGAATTATATACGTGCTGCGTGTAGGTCAAGAGAGTCGTTAGAGCAGGTTTTTGAGGAGAGTATGAGTGTTGTTCCGTCAAAGGATTCTGCTTTGTCTTCGTTGTCAGATCAAATGGTGTGGATTATGGAGTTGTTGGAGAGTAATTTGGAAGTGAAGGCGAAGATTTATGGGGACCCTGCATTGTGCTCTGTTTTCTTGATGAATAATGGGAGGTACATTGTTGAAAAAGTGAAGGATAACGAATTAGGTTTGCTGCTTGGAGATGATTGGATAAAGAAACACACTGCAAAAATCAAACAATACCATTCGAGTTATCAGAGAAGTTCGTGGAATAAACTTTTGGGGATATTGAGAGCAGACAGTAGCCCTGTGGCTGCTAATGTTGGAGGAAGGTCCATGTCTATGAAAGACAGGATTAAGGCATTTAATTCGCAGTTTGAGGAAATTTATAAATCTCAATCTCAATGGATCATATTTGATGAGCAGCAAAGAAATGAGCTGAGGATGTCTTTGTCCAATCTAGTGCTGCCAGCTTATAGAAACTTTATTGAAAGGTTTCAAAATGCTCCAGATGTTGGGAGGCATGCGGATAGGTATATTAAGTACACTCTGGAGGATATTAACTCCCGGATTAATGAGTTGTTCCAGGGAGGGAATGGATCAGCTGGTGGAAGGAAATGAAGGTAAGCCACTGCTTGTTGTGCTATTTGTATGAACTGTAGGAAAGTTTGTGAATTTTGTTGTTGTATGAATGCAATCAATGACTGTAGCCCTTAACTAGATATGTGAATGTTTTCGGCACTTTTTGTTTCCTTTCCTTTTGTTAATGAAAATTATGGATACTTGTCATGATCAATCAAGATGGTTTTCTGCTTCCCATATGAATTGTATTTTTGTTCTGCACTTCTTATGATCAAGGCTATTATACATTTGACTATAGTTATACATGGAAACTAGTTTTACGTTGCCAATCCTATTCCCAAAACCCAATCAGCATATGTTGTTAGCTATCTATACGGCCTCTCGTAATGCTAGAAGTGACTATGTTCAGAGTGATTGAGTGAGTATATTCCTTTGCCATAGCCTACCATTAGCACTTAATACTATCTCTCCCATTAACAACTGTAATGCTTCTTGCAGAATTAATGCTTACCTTTTGGTAAAAATTCTTAATTACCAAATTTTGCAAAAAATCCTGCAATTCAGTTTCTTGTAGAATTGAGTGATGGGCAATTTTCTCTCATATATTGGCAGAGCTGCAGAAGTGGCCCAAAACCATGCCATGATAGACGATTGTCTTAATCAGTAGTTTCTTCATGTCAAAGTTAAATAGAGTGATTAAATCAGCACAACCCTTAGTCACACCCTACCATAAAAACCCGAATTATTAGCTCACCTATCGTCGGATCATCCATTTTGCTCACACTAATCAAATACTTAAGCGGAGATAACAAAACATTACAGCGAAATCTTATTGACAGTACAAGGAAACATAGAATATGAAGATCACTTGTTTTTCATTATAAAAATGTCCCTTTCTCTCTGTGGAGTATGAAGTGTTTACAAAGTTACAGAACAAACCGAGAGAAGCTGTGATCATATGGGAGGGAACTGGGAAATGAGAGTTTTCTCTAGATATTCGGTTAGGGACTTGTAGGCTGATTCACTTGGATGGATGGCATCCCAAAACAGGAACTGCGAAGCATTTCCACACGTTGGAGTCATTTTGTTGCAGGATGATCCTGCTTCGACAAGCCCGGTTCCACAGCACCCTGTATGTATTTTGGCAAAACCTGTCTCGTAACGGCAAATATCAGTAAACTAGGCTCAATACAAAGGAGATCTTCGAACCTAAGACCTCTTCTATAGATGCCGTTTGAGCTACAGGCTCATTGGCTATACTATGCTTAATTACATCAATGTATCGCATATCGGAGACCATAGTTTTAAATCTTCAACAATTGAAAAAACAATCATAATTATTATCGTCGTAGTTTTTTAAAAAAATCATTATATAACATTTTTGAATCATATTGTTATATTTATTTTAATATTATAGTAAATCATGATTTATGATGCTGATCATAATTATTTTTTCAAATATTCATAATTTAAAATTATTATAAATCATAATTTATTATAATATTAAAATAATAACAATATAATAGTTTCGAACTGTTAAATAACAAATGTTCTATAACATGATTAACATGATTGTGGTTATTTAAAACTATGCTGGAGACAGAGCTACTAGCTATGTATGGTGACTTTTCTAATGGGTCTCTCTTGTCTGTGTTGACAAGTGGACTTTAAGTCAGTTCTGTTCTTGAGTCAGATAATTTATTTTCTTTGACCTGGCTAAATTTTCAGAACCTGGCATCCGCACTGCTCAGTGTTTAAATGTAGTATACCAACTCTCTGGTTTGGTGCAACGAAAGCATTAATTAGTTCAGCTTTAACTATAACATATGGTTATAATTTGTCAAAAACAGCTAATCTTTTTCTTTTTCTCGTTTTTGAGAAAACAGCTTACCGTATTTTTGTGGCTGAGAGACCATGTCAAATAATGGGTCGTAAATATCTGCGTAGACAATTCTGCTCCTCGGAAGTGATGACTGCAATGGAGTTAGTAGCCTTGTAAGTTTTTGATTATAGGCTTGACAGTCTGAATTTTGATCTTCCAGGCAAGCTAGATTCCCTGAACTCCCACATCTTGTGACTATCTGAATGGGAAGACACCCAATTGGAGGAAGCCCAGCAATGGCCATTAAACGGCCTCCAAGGTTGTACAATTCCTGTGAAATTTGTAAATTGAAAAAGGAACATTACCATTAGAAGCCACCCAAGAAAATGCAGGCAGGATTATGCTTGGAAGAATCTAACCTATACATTGATTGTGAAGAGATAGGCAGATGCCTGCATGCCTGGATATATATACCTTTACAAAATTCTGTAAAGAATTCAGCAGAAAATCATGATAACCACTGATATTGCTGAACTGCTGCCGCCTTGTGGGTACATCATAATAGTTGTAAATCACGTCATTAGTTCCTGAACTAACAACGATGAAAGCTCTGCCAACTATCTCCTTGGCCTCCTCTTCTCCAACAATTCCCTTGAGCCTTGTAATATAGTTCCTGAATAACTCGAGCTGCTCGTACATTGGGATGACTCCGGTTGCTGCACTCGTCATGTCGTCGTATCCTGAACCGGCCGAAGCAAAGCACACGCCGGTGCGAATGTCATCGTCGGTTAGGCTTGGATCGAGGACAGGCGGAACAGTTTCTTTCATCCCTAGGATGCTGGCTGCGAAGTCAGGAATGAGTTTTCCGTTTGAAAACCTTCCTGTAGGAATTTGGTCAGGAAAATCTTGGCCATACGGTGGATGGTCGCTTCTGAATATTGTCTTAACGTAGTTGTTGTTACCAGTATCAACGGTAGAATCGCCGAAAATAAGAATGCTGGAGAATTTGGGCAAGTTTGCTGCCCCAGTGATGTTGCATGTGGTCGTCATTGTGAGGAAGAGGAGGAGGAGGAGGAGGAGGAGGAGGGTAGGTGCCATTGTTGATAGGTTAATGTTGTCAGATTGCTCTGTCTTTATAGAAAACTAGAAAGCTGTAGTATCCAGCAGTGTCATGACGTCCCTTTTAAACGTGAGGAAAATTACTTGAAGCAAATTCTCTCCACCTACCTTGTCAACTAATACCCAAGAGAAATAAAGAAGAGAATTGAAAGATCCTTTTTCTTTATAGAGTAACTTTGTTTCATTGATTAATGTGATTTGTTCTTTTCATTAGATTGATTCTCATACGTGAAACTACTTGTATATCGATTTGTTTAATAATGTGTTCTGCACATATTCAAATTCTGTACCATTCAAACTTTTTTTAATTGATACCTAAGTTTGTTTTTTTTTTTTTTTAATTTAAGAGTTATATTCTTATTTTATCGTTTTAAATCCTAACGTGTCACGTAAACACACAAGATAAGCTCTAGTTAATAACTTATCACATGTCATGATAGGCTCAAATTGAGGATTGAATTGGTGACACGATAAGTCGTCATCGACTACAACACACACATGGTAAGCTGTCATTGGTTAGAGTCGAAATAACAACAATATAAGATTAGAATTCTTAAATTTAACAAAAAAAAAATCTAAGATCTCAATTAAAAAAATTCGAATTATATGAAGATTCAATATGCGTAAAACCCGTTTAATAATAACACGTGAAACAAATCTATTTATAATCCGAACTAAACTTTCTAAAAGGAGACACACTTGATGATGCAAATGTTTTCATGGTATGAAACAAAGAATTAGAGCCCTTCTTAGTCATGAAAATTACTCGAGCAAAAAAGCTAAGATCATGTTATTTTCCACTTGTCAAGAACGTCATGCATCAGCTGATAGTGACAGAAACCTAAAAAATAAAGGATACATTTTCATAGGTGGTGGCAATGGTATATGTGTTGGGGAAAAACTTGAAGTCGATAGGATTTTCATTTTTTCAAATCATTTAATTCGTATAAATTGACTAAATAGCTTGTAACTCAGTAGTAATAATGTTTTTCTTTACAAGAGGTTATGGATTTAAATTTTAATAAAATAGTTATTTTAGGAGCTTTGAATATATATTAGATTTGTGAATTAAAAATAAAAATATTTTTTTTTGTTCTTTTAGGAGCTTTGAATATGTATTGGATTTGTGAGTTAAAAATAATTTTTTTTTTGAAAAAAAATCCCTATGAATTGAAATGTGATTATCAATTAGTATATCTGTCTTAATTTAAATAAATAATATATAAACTGATTGGTAGTTTTGAAGTACGGAAGTATTTTCCATATATGTTTATGAAAATTTGAAGGATATTTTCTATTTTAACAAATGACAAAAAAAAAAAAAACTATTTGACTTTTGGCTATGTAAAATTTTTCTTTTTCTTTTATGATTGGCTAAATGAGTTAATCCTACTGTAAATTTTAGTTCATTTGAAAATTCTTCTATAAATTTATAATTTCATATTTGATTTCTATTAGATTTTTTATTTTTTTTATATAGATTTAGTCTGTCATATGATTTTTAGTTATTATTCTCTTTTCTACTTAATTCTTGATATTTTGAACTAGTGTATTTTTGCATCTATGTTGAGAAAAATTCAATCTTTTTTTTTTTTTTTGGAAAATCTTATAAATTTTCAAGGTCGAAAAGTATATATATTTTTTATTTTATTTAAAAATAAAAAATAATTCGAAATGATCCTAAATTTTTTGAAAAGCCCTAAATATATCTTATTAAATGATTTTAACTATGAAAATATTTATGTGATTTTATCCTAAATTAGAAGTTTAAAAACTAATTTTTAAATATATTAAAATTTAAGGAAGATCTATGGTATTTAGCTTTTACGACTTGAAAATTTTGTCCGCACAGAGTATACTCTTATCTACATTAATTTCCTCAGCAAATTAAAGCTGTACTTGGTTGGTAATGGTTGGTTGGCAATTTCATCCCTATCTCCTTTCCTGTTGGAATTTTTTCAAAGAAACTGGTTGCCGAAACACTTATTTTTTTAGTGGAACTAATTCATGTTCTGAAATACTATTTTGACATTGTATTTTACAATAAATCTTTAAAATTGTTTAGAAAAATAAAACTCAAATTTAATTAATACACAAACTGATTGGAAAATGTTTTATCATTGAATATAAATAAAATAAATTAATGAAGTACTGAAGAGAAAAAAAAAAAAAAACAGGGAAGTTATTTCATGGGTTATTGACAGGTTGTCTTAGCTTATTTTTATCAAGAGAACAAGCTCTTCAGTTTATAAACTGATCATCTATCAGACATATAATTTGAAAAATGTACCATTTATTGCGAAAAATTGGAGTAAAATTATTAGAATTAGCATTGGAATTTATCAATAAAAAAAAAAAGTATTAGCTTTGAAAATTTTATTGGTCATTATTGATGACAATTTCCCCAAAAAATCTAACTCATCAGAAACATGACAACTAAACAGGACAATAGACGAATCAATTATCTCACCATATTTCAACTCCAATTTTGATCATGATTAATCTTTAAATATCTTTATGAAAGAATATATATATATATATATATATATATATATATATATATATATATATATATATATATATATATAGTTTGGTGTTATCAATGGAAAACCAATTGAGTAAAATTAATATATGGAAAAATCATCAATACCATTGAAGCCATTGCAAATGCAGCCTAGCTTATTAGTAACAATCACAAAAACTACTAAAAATAAGCTTATAATTAAGAGATTAATTCCAATTTGATTAATAATCACTACCCAAAGTTGCAAAGGTAATATTGCAAAGTTATATATAATTTATTCCAATCCGATAAATATTGGATATTACAATTGAACTGGGAGTTGATAAAAACCATTATATATGATTGTTAAGCTCTTAAATTCCCTTGGATTTTTTCATAATTAAGAACTTGCTAACTTGGATACCATATTACACGATCTTACAGACACTCGGAACAGAAACGAAACAATAAACACAAAATTAAGCAAACACAGATAAATATAGATCACAAACGATTTGCTATACATACATCAACTTTCAAACAATTCTTAGAAGAGATAAGTACAATGTATTTATAAAACTCATTCTTCTTTGAATCGATCTTGGACTGAGAATTTCTGTGGTCCAAAAAACGAAGTAATAGTACAAAATCTTTGTAATAGTTGATTTACTGAATTATAATATTGCAACAAAATCTCTTCTCCTGTCAGGAAACATGAAACAGATCATTAAAAAAAAATTGTTAATTTGGTAGTTAATTACAATGACATGGTAGCTAGCAATTCACGAAGTTTAATCTTTAATCTTTTAAAGTTTCAGTATGAAACATGCAAAGCCATGCATATAATATTTGAGGATGAGATATAGTGTGATCTTACCAACTACTGATTCCTCTCGTGCAAATTTTTAAAATATATAATTACATTATGATTAATTTGCTGCAAAATCTGCAGACTTTGACAAGTTCATTGTGCCCATTTTTCTGCAATTTGTACTAACCAAAAAAAAAAGTGCTGGCCTGAGAAGCAAGGTGGAAATCATATTATTGGAAGATTGCATTTCCTGCAATCATGCTAATAGGGACAAAAAAGGTTGCGGTAGTTCATCCATTCAATGGTTTTCAATAAAAATGGTTCGTGACATTTATATATTTATGCATATGATCCTCAAAATGTTCATTACTTCAAGTTGTGAGCGGGTTTGTTTTATATTATGAGGAGGATCAAATTTGTCGTAAATGTACTAGTTTGGATATGAACGCTCAATCGAAGAAAATTTCTTTTAAATTTCCGGATTCAAACCTCAAGGGTAACATTCAAATCTTTTTACTAGATTCCTTTAAATAAACTAAGCTGATGTTGTAAGGAATGCATTTTTTAAGATCGTTCAAGAAAGAATTTAATTTCAATTGATACGTAAGTTGATCTGAGAACATCATTATTGTCAGAAAAAGAAGTTTCGAAGTTAATTGCTTCCTCTATTTTTGCTTTCAAAATTTCATGGGCTTTTCAGTTTCATAAAACAAAAATGCTGACATGAAATTCCAGCTCAAGTTGGATACGATATGCATTAATTTATATCATTATTTCTATAAATAATTGCAATTCCCATGGCCCAAATAAACAGATAATTGATAGAAATGGTTTGTACAAGGACTTCGTGGAGCTTTAATAACCATGCATGGCTTCCAGCTTAATTGAGCTATTAATTGTGTAGGTCTTCTTGCTTTTTCTTTTTTATCTTATTTTTAGTTTCATGCCTTTATATCCGAATATAAAGGCATTATTATTGTGGAAGTCGTGCTTCTGATTAGACTTATGTGGGCTTCCCTCTTGATTCTTGATACCAAATGTTAATCACTTAATTTCTCTCTTGCAATTTTCCCACCTATATATCTCAAAGAAAAAGAACACGTTTTATTTATTTATTTATTTTATATGTAACTGGGAAACCAACAGGGAATTCGATTATCTTTGCGAGTATATTTTGAACCCGAAATCTCGAGGTATGTAACCCTTCTTACTTCGGAAAAAAGGCTCAATTAATTCGTAAATTTTACTTTTTAATAAAAAATTTGATTGAATATATATATATATATATAAATATCTTTTTAGTTATTATTAATATTTCGAGAATCATTGTATTGTTTTTTCTTGAATCACCAAGAAAATAATTAATAAACATATATATTTATATGCATAATAAAAAAGAAAATTATAAAAGAATTCATGAAACAAATCAAAATACAGTAATTCACTTTATCTCAATTGTAAAAAAAAAAAAGCACTTAAAATTCTAGTAATATTAATAAAAATTCACTTGTTTTTTTTTATAAAACAACCTCCTTGTCCCTAGAATATGTACTTTCCAAATTATCAAAAGTCCAAATTATTAGCCAATAAGTTAAGATATATCCTTCAATATCACAAAGAACATAAGGGAAACAAACGTTAACCTTGTAGTTGCCACAAAAATAC